TCATTACTAATTAGATTTCCGTTAAAAACACTGTTGTACTGTACTTAGGTACATGTAACACAAATTCCGTGCACATCTGATTAATTTTAAAGGACTTCATGGCGATGCCGATACAACCTGTATGGATAATAAGCCTGTTTTATTCTTATTATTCGTTTTTATGAAACAAATTAATTCTCTTGGTTATTTAATTATTAAAACCATAATCTATGTTCAGTATATTTTTGATATCAAAAATAACTCAAAATAAAATAATACTTTATTCAACTATAAAATGCCAGCGCATACAAGTAACCAGAGGTGTGACGCACATTCATCGAATCCATGTCAAAAAGGAAATTAATGAGACTATAGAATACGTGCCACATATGTACATGTACAGTGTACATTCACCGGTATGCCTGCTGTCCTCCTACGATATAACACTACTTATTAATAAATGATGACGTTACTTTCGCTTAAAAATAAAGACACTATTTGACCTCTTCCATACATAGATTTATGTCAAAACTAAACTTATATATTATACTAGCGACTCACCCTCACTTCGCTCGGGTTCGTCCCTAGCTGGCTTCCCAATACAAACTTTCATCCCCATTTTCATCCCTTTAAGGGATGATTCCGGGATAAAAATATATATTCAGATAAAAATATAAAAACATATAATATATAGATTTCCGGGATAAATATATCCTATGTCCTTCCCAGGATCTCGAACTATGTTCTTACCAAATTTGATCTAAATCGGTTCAGTAGATCCAGAGATTACCCCCTACGACATCACAAACTCACAATATCACAATATTTACCTCTTTTTAATATTATAGTATAGACAAATAAAAACTTTATACAAATGAAAATTTCTTTTCATCTTTTCACTTTTGATTCGGAGCAAACACAAAGTACCAGATTGATACGAACGATCACATTTTATTTACACACATTTTTAATCCCCTACCTGAAATGCATTTATAAACAATTTTTTTAAAGTTAAAGAGCCCTTCAATCTTTTACTATTTACTCTCGTTAGAAATGCGATGTGAATACATATAATGCCTTACATTGTAAAAAATAGGCTAGAAAAGGCAATGCAAATCAAAGAACCCTCGAATTATGTATCCATTGGCTTGTCCGTTTCATGTGCTCTTCGCAGTACGATGTAGAGTACAACTTTAACTTCGTAATCCGCGATTACATAAGGTAGTCACTAGATTATCTAGACAGTATGACATAATATAAATTAAAAATTCTTAAAATTATGAATTTTTAAGACTAATTTGATTTTAAAGCAGGTCTCTAGAGACAGGTCGTTGGGTTTAAGTGGGTAATACTGGATTTTTTGGCCGGTGAGTCCCACATAACCTGTATGTGTACGGATGGTACACGTAAACGCATTTCCCAACGTTAAAAAAAAACAAAGGTACAACTATTTTCATGACAAATACTTTATAAATAAATAAAATGAAATATTCCTTATTGTAAAGAATGTATCTTTACCTATAAGAAAAGATACTACTGCTTACAATAACATATATATATAAAAGCTGTGTGCGTAAAAATATTTTTAAAATATTTATCTAGTAATATTTACAACTAAACCCACTTAATTTACCAAACATCTAATTACATTTGCAAAATAAGAAATAATTCTTCATAAATAGTAGTCAATTTGTATTCATTATTGCATTTCATTGTCTTTATGCATATGAATCTTATCAGCTCGTGCGCCTGCGAATGTAACCTCTCGCTGGACTGTGCAGGAATAACTATTGGCATCCGATGCATTGCAACCTTCGATTGTACCTATATTTATATAATTTTATAATCATTTCCGTAACTATTCACTTACTTATTAACTCCACGTGGAACTATTGTCGCACGTTTATTTACTATAGTTTTTCTTAAGAATAAAAAAACAAGGATTTTATGCTAACACTACATTGTATTTTTTAATTATATATATATACATACATACATATATATATATGTTCTATTTTATTTATATTAGCGAACATAATTATAGGAAAGTTAATAAATGCCTCTTTTAATAAAATAATAACTTGTAGATATATATAAATTATTTAATTATTATCAGTGATACAAAACATTAGATAGAAATATCAATCGCCAAGTGAAAATACGTGGCTAGTTTTCGACGAGATAGGAATAGTAAAATAATAAAAACAAACGTGTAATATAAGTTAAAGCTTCCAGTGTAATATTTGATTGCCTATTATCTTATGATTATGTATCTCAACATTGGATGATGGCCAAGTGAGAGGATACTAGGCAAGACTCCAACGCTTCCTAGTACTGTACACACAATATTTACTTGATTGCACTTTACCCTATTCCATTTATACGTCAGTACATATTTCTTCTAAGAAACTGTGCCATTGACCCCATATACATACATCTCCGAAAACACAAAGTCCACGAGGAAAAATCCTGCGGTTCCGTTGTCGTTATAATTTTAAGTAATTAGCAGTTAAAGTACAATTGATGTGTGTGCAGAATATAAACAATACTTATATGAAAATTAAATACGCCTTAAAATAAAATGTAAAGAAGTGTAGCAGAAGGAGGAAGCAATATTGCCGACTCGCGCTGGCTGTACTGCGTGTGAATTAAGGCACGTCCATAACAATGACGTAATATTTATTTTATAACAATTTTAATTATATATTTTTTCTAGGAAATGTAAATATTTTTTTCAATGAAAATTTAATCGAATAATACATTTTTTATATATAATATGATGGATAAATTAAGAATCTTTGTGTTAGATTCTAGCGTTCCTCCTTGCTAACCGCTAATATGCTGTAAACCTGAACTGTACCTTACAATTAAATAAACAAAATATTTTAAATTAATGAAACTATTTAGAAAAACCAAGATGTGGTATCATAACTTACCAATGGTTCATCACAATTATTAGATTACTTTAGGAATGCATACGTTGCAAGCAAACATACATTATTTTATATATTCTTCTAAAGAGTGCTATAATTTGCCATTTTAAAGTTACATAAAAACGTACTTTTACAACTAAACTAGGCCCCTCAGATCCAAGCGGAAGGCTTAAAGCCAAACTTCTTTAATTCATATTCTAGTAGCTCAGCGCTTCCACTAGGAAACACTACTAAGCGAAAATAAGTAGGTATTTTCAAAATCGGAAACACTAAAATTTCTGAAGATTACCTCCGCCATCCAAATGTGTATACTTTATAGATATTATTAGTATCTTAGTGTCTTTATAATCTTTATAGTGATTTTGTAAACCTATAAATAAAATAGGAGCGCCAGTAAGTCCGAGTCCTTACCGGCACTACACACTACGCACATCTCGGATGTCGCTAATTCCGTACGCTCGCACTGAATCACTAATCAATGACACCTAGCACCACCTATCAGTATTCCACCAGCACCCACACATCACAACGCGACGCAAATCGCTAAAAATATAAGATACGACAAGGGCATCTCATGGTCGACATGGCCTTACTGGAATCTCATAAAATAACCAAATGTTTGTTCCTGTACTCATAAATAATAGGTCATACTACTAGATGATGATAATGAGGATGTTTGCTAATATGTGGATGAAATAAAACACAGTTGTTGCCATTTACGCATTATTATTAGGGAAGTTGTAAGTTTTAAATAAATTTAGGAAGACTAATTATTGCTTTAATGTTTTTCACTCACTAGCAACACCTATACAATAAATAAATAAAAATTATATTATCATGGATTTGCAATTGTTTCGCCAATTTTAAGAATAATGATTACACAATACTAGGTAGGTATATTTTAAGAAATTTCTTAGACTTCCCGTTTGACTTTATAAGGTTATTGTCATTAAGTTTGTTTACAGCAAGTAACAGCATTTCTCGAGTAAATTTTGTTTTTGTAACGGTAACCAAATAACACTGTAATTTTCATAAGAATAAAAAAAAACAAAGATTATCTTACGATAGCCATAACCCGTCCAAGTTTTTATTTTGATTATTATCTTTTAATGCACACTTTTGAATGTTTGAGTATAAAATCCTACATTTCTTACTGCCTATTATTGTCAAACACCAAATGTAAATATACATATATTCTATTTATTAATTCGGCAGTGTGGATAGGCTATTATTACATATAAATTCTACACAGAATATGAAAACAAAATTATATTAATTATATTTCGAAACACTGGGATGAGTACGTGAAAATAAGTATCTTAAGCTATTTACATTGAAAGGATCGCTAAAATATTTGTGTATATCACAAATCATAATAATGGTGGCTTACAAGTACAACTTCTTTCCCTGACGCATTATTTACTATCTATATCATATCTATACTTGGCAATGATAACAAAACCTCGCGTGCGCTGTTTCTACACTTCTCACGCGAAAGTACTTTACTTTTAAATTGAATGTATAGTCATCTACAGCCTACACAGTACACCCATAATATTTTGAGCTGCATAAGAAGCATATGAATGTATGACGTGCACAGTTTTTATGCAATATTTTAAGTGAATATACCTCTGACTTTATTGTATGTATGCATTCAGCCCTTTTTAACGTCACACTCTTGAGCACGGGCCTCCCTTCAAAACTAGGGAGATCAGGCCTTGGTCCACCACGCTGGCCAAGTGCGGGTTGGCAGACTTCGAATGTTTTTTGAATACTTATTAAGTTCTCTCAGACATGCAGGTTTCCTCACGATGTTTTCCTTCTCCGCAAGACAATTGGTAATTAACTTGGAAATAATACGCACAGTCCTGGGATTTGAACCTGCTTCACTCGGTCGAGCTCATTACCTAGACTACCATTGCCATTTACTGATTTTATTAAATAATAAAAAATCATTTAACTTAAAATCAATACATCTAAAATGTGTGATTGAGTGTGCATAATTGAAAACTAAGTTATACAGATTTGATTTTAAACTAAGTTATACAGATTTGACAATGCGCTTATCAAAAAGCGGACGCATTATTATCCCTTACACTGAATTGTTTTCACTCCGAGTATATCAATGAAGCCACGCTGAAAGACATCAATATCAGAGTTGTCGCTCATACGTTGTGCGAGTGCCTTTTCCTGTGCGAGGGGGTGCCAAGCACCGAGGGTGCATCCCACGTCTTCGCTTGATGCGTGGTAATGACATCGGCGTGTCGCGCGGACTGACGGCACGTACTCAAATACGCGAACACGGTGGCAGCGGTTTAAAGCAAACCATAGTCCTGCATTAATAGAAAATTAAAATACTTGTATTGCAATAATTATAAACTAATGCAAAAATATTACGTTATTCTTCTTAAAGAATACATACTCTACTCTATGTTTTTACTTTATCTCTACCTATCTGGCAGTACGTAAAATAAATAGTATTATATTGCAACAAAATGATCGTTTTAAAATATTATTATCAAACACTATACCTATAAAGCCAGATGAAGGAGGGTTTCTACGTAGACGGTATGGAGACGAATCTTGTAAAACAATCCACAAATCCCATAAAACTTGGGGATGTAAAAGATGAACGTCAACACTGCCTCCACGATTCAGCAATCTACAATACATAAAGTTATTATAGAAATTACCTCTTTTGTAAATCGAAAATAAATTATGCACAATTAATACATTGTAAGTTAAGGACAATAATTACTTTTTGTATACTGAAAACACTGGAAAGTCAGGATGGCGATACCAATCCTCAAGCGTAGCGGAAAAATTCGCAGGATCCCAAATTAATATTGAAATATTTTTATATAGTGAATTTTCCAAGAATTTGAATTCCGGTTTGGTGACTACCTAAAAAACAATATTTAGGTGCTATTTAAAAAAAGTATTCGCAACATTTAGAAGACGAGAATATAAAATCGAATCTACTTATTATAAGTATATTTTACTAGTGGCTGCCCTCCCTCAGGTTCGACCCTAGCTTGCTTCCCAATACAAACTTTCATCCCCATTTTTACACCCTTAAGGAAGATTTCCGGGATAAAGAGTATCGTATGTCCTTCCCAGGGCCTCAAACTATCTTATTACCAAACTTCATCTAAATCGGTTCAGTAGATGAGATTACCCCCTACAACGTCACAAACTCACAAAATCACAAACTTTATCTCTTTATAATATTAGTACAGATGATTAGTATTAGTATAGATAAGTTTTCTTCGATCGAATAGAAAATATATTAATATAAAATATCTTTTGGTCTAACATATCTCCTGACATAATAATATGCTTCTTGTTCAGTGCCATCTTTTGATTAATTTAGAACTATACTAGTATTTAGAATTATACTAGTGTTACTATTATCCTACGGGGAATATTTGCTCATATTGAAAGTATCCTAGTATCTTATATTAATAAATAGTCATCTATGTAAGTCCTTAGGACTTATTAGTCCTTACAATCATTTATTATGTAGGTACTTAAATTTAAATAGACACTTGGCACTTTAATTTAGACACTTTCTCGTGTATTTGTACGTTTTTTAAGGTTTAATGGAAGTTAGTTTTTCATTACCATATTTAACTGTAAAACCAACTTAGGTTACTCTGGGAACTTCACATATTATTTGATTCTTTCAAGTATTCTTGTAATATTTTGTGATTATATTTATTAGTTTATAAAAATTATCTCTAGTTAATTCAATTTCTAAGCATTTTTATTTCTCTACATACGGCGACACATACGTGCTAGTAGAGTCTCGGTGTTCTTACTTACCACATTGAATAATATAGCCTATAAAGTTAATGTACGATTGAAACCCAACTTCGAAACAAAATATAAGTAATTCAAACTCGCCTGTGAATTAAGAATGCGGAAATTAGTTTTGGAACCAACATCTTCCGTGTAATTTTCGGTTGGAGCGTTGTTAAATCTCAGTACTATATCATGGGAGTCTGTAAAGAACAAACAATATTTTAATAGTTGCAGTTTTAATGAGAAACAAATACTTTATTCAACTACAATTATTATTATAGACCATAATAGCTAAAACTCCGTTGTACAATCCAATACAAAATATTCAATTATAGTACGAGGCGAGCAAAATGAAGAAACCTAATTCTGTAATCGTTTTTTTAAGCAAATGTAATATCGCAACTTACAATACCTTTGCGTTTTCTGATACAACATTGCCAGATTACTTTATAAAATAGTTGCAATCCTTTATTTATCACATAAAGGAGTTGATAGGTTTAGACCTTGAATAATATATATATATGTATGAATAAATTGAATATATATATATATATGTATATATATATATATAAATCGTATACACACAAGAACAATAGAAATAAACTAACAAATCTGCAATTGTGACAACATAATTGATTATCACGCGCCTATTATTATTATCCATTATGAGAATAGCGATCATTTTTTTTAATAATTAGTACCCATTTTACAAGGAAAATTTTAAGCGTTTTGTATTTAAAAATGTCTACAAAGGTCACGTGCGAAAGTCACATGAAATAAAAACGAGACCACTTAGTAAGGAAAGATGAAACTGTTTAATAATGTATATAGTGCATTAGATCTGAGCGTTGACACGCTTATTCTATTGTCCGCATGATATATAGTCTCTTGCGACACCTATACTTGTACTTCGTTTAATTTTTTTATAAGTTTTTATGACAATAACTTCAAAGTGCATTTTTATGGCATTCAATATAAAATGAAATAAAACTGACTTGTGGAGAAAGCACCGTGTACATTACTGCGTTCTTTTTTTCTGCTGAACAGGGCAAGCAAATAACGCTGAGAAATATCTATTTTATTTACATAATAGTATATTTTTTCAAATAGAACTTATGACCTCCTATTTTACTATTTACAACAATTTTCATTTAATATTATTTTAAGAATTACTCGAAGGAAAATATGGAATAAATGCTGTACAAAAATTAGTTTATCCCTTTTAAATTTTTACAATATTTTTCAAGTATTTGGTGACTGCAGTCCAACATATGCACAATGGTAAGTAAACTATAAATTATACGTTGTTTATGGACGCGTGGGCTGATGACTTGTTATTGAACCTACAATGTAAACATTATGGCCGGTAGGAAAATTTTATTCTTTTACACATTCACTCTACCGTAACTTGTCACAACTTCGTGATTTTTAAATACAATGCAAATTTCAAACAGATGTCGGTCGTTGAAGGTATTTTTTTCCTTGATTTTTTAGCTTGTTGTTTGGAATTTACATTTCTATGAAGCATATGAGGAACGATTTAAACAATGATTTTTTGCCGCGTACTTAACGTACACATATATATATATATATATATATATATATATATATATATATATATATATATATATAAATTTGCTATGTATAATAATAGCTTAAAAATATTATATAGTAACTGGTTTTTTTTTTAAATCGAATAATTCTACCAGCTCTAGAACAGTAGAACTGTTTGTTGTCTATATTATCTAACATCACTCAAAAAGAGCCTAGGGGTTTTCATAATATGTTTCATAGATCTTTACTATGAGCGTTTAATTATTTTACTGGCATTATATTCTCGATGTATTTTAATAAAAAAATTAAAATATATTGTACAGCTCGTGCAAATAAGTAACAAACGCTTTAGTAAGCGTATATGCTATTTTACTTTTAAGAAGTATGAGTGTACAAGTCAACCAGGACATTCAAATCCAATGTTGGGGTTTTTTACGGGAGTAAGAGGAATTACACGTGTTTTGATTGTCACCATTGTCTTATCGTTTGGGTTGAAGTACTAGTACTTCCTCAAAACACCTTATTGCGTTCACTTAAGAAATAGAATTGAATAAATTATAAAGTGTTTATTGCATAGTGCGCTTTGACCTATCGCAGCTTTCGAGTAAGGACAAAGACATGTGCAAATGACTAACACAATACAACTTAAATATAATGATTTGTTTAATGATTCATCGTTTACGATTTTTACTACATATACTAAACCGTATGTTAAGAATCTAATAGGTAAGCGGGAAAATAAATTCTATATTTTTTTTATCTTTGAATAACCAAAACGTCTCCTGAATCGATTTTAGTCAGAAATTGACGTAGATATGACATTATTTCTTTTAAAACGATGTTAAACATATATGTTACGAATATATCCCATAACGTGTTCAAACAGCTTGATATAGTAATGTAATTAACTTCCAAATAAAAACTTCATAACTATACTATTTTCGTAATACATAATGACTTTACTTATTTCGTCAAAAATCAGTATTGTTGGAACAATACAATTTGTATTATAAATCCGCGAAAAATACTGAAAAGAAAGTTTTATTTATTTAAGTTCTTAACGGTTAATGGTAATATATTTACCACCTAAAAAATTACTTCTCGTCGTCGTATATTAAAATTACTTTTGTGATCATCCTCAATATAACATCTACTATATGGTAAAAACCGGATATATACTTTTGTGTGTAGTCGCCTAATATAAAATATTCTAGGTAAGAAGTACTTTTTGGGTCAATTTTTTTCCTCCGTTCGAAAAATAGGAACGCTAACGCTATTCTGAATAGCGTATAGATGATTTTTGAAAAAAAATCAAAAGCCGCTTGCAAAAATTACACAAGTTATTAACAATTAACTGAAAAAAATGAGGCTTGGTTTTTTTGCAAATATCTCAAAAAATATTTGACGTTACTATTAATTATTTGACTAATTTTCCTTTATATTTTGACTTGAATTTAATATTTCGTAGTTCATATAATATGTAGTATATCTATATACCTTTTTCAATTAAACTACACTAAATATATTTCTAGAGTCAGCTCACAATTAGTAGGCCTTATATGGTCGAAAGCTCCATTTATGCTGATTATAATTATTGAGAAACTTATGGAATATTTTAATGCATAAATAAACCTTATATCTCATTAGTTTCACGGAAAAACCACTGGAGTGATTTTGATGTAATTTGGTATGGTGACAGCTGGTTATCTGGGTCAACATATAGGACACTTTTTACCGCGGGAAAATGTCTCATTTCTGAGATAAAATACAAAATCTGCAATGTAAGAGTACCTATACTAATACCTATGGTAAACCTAAGAATTTGGTTTTTGGTCATCTGAACGCAGGCGGAGCCGCGACAATGCTAGCAGCCTATAAGAATCATAAGCAATATTTAAAAAAGGGTTCAATGATATCTGTTGGATAGATTTTTTGTGAAATCCGTTCAAACATACTTACATACAAAGAATTTTATATAATTGAAGTACGATTACCGCTATAATCTATATAGATAAATAAAATTGAAGTGTCTGTTCTTAATGTCGAAATAAAAGCTTTTTATTATATGCATATGAAATTATATACGGCACTTATTAGGAAAACACAAATTCTAAATTTTTGTCCGTCTGTCTATTTGTTCCGGCTAATCTTCGAAACGGCTGGACTGATTTTGATGGAACTTTCACTGGCAGGTAATTGATGTTACAAGGAGTAACTTAGACTATTTTATTTTAGAAAAATAATTAGGATTTCGTTCAAGAAAATTAGAACGTACCTAGGGACGCACCCGAGCCAAGCGAGGATAAGTCGCTAGATATGTCATAGCCAAAAATCACAATGTAAGGAAGGTATTTCTTAGTCAATATTTAAAAGGAGTCAACCATATTGCAGACATAAGCTTTTTATTTGGCGTTCTTCGTATTTTCCATAAGGGACGCGCGGGTTTTACAGATACAGTAGGTACAGAGGCGCCGGCCGTTGGCGCCACAATCTAAACTACCATATCAGCATATCGTGCCGTTTTGCATTTCTGCGAGCTTAGATGCGATGATCATGAATAAATCAATTGATCGACGCATAATAAAACACTTACATGGTATGATGGCTATCTAGCAGCCATACATTATAGAGCTCCCACAGTATCTTAATTAAGTACAACTTTGTGTGACACCGGATATGCATAGAGCTTTATCATGGTACGATGGTGTAGCGGTCTCTACCTGTTCACGTTGGTCAGTCCGCATGTTGGTCCATGATTTCTGTGATTCATGTTCTCTACACAATGTATCGTATCGTATAGAGCGTTCGCATTTTTATTTAAAACATTTAATGATTTTTTTAAGTAAAAACATTTACAAATATAAAAAAAATATTTTGTTTGACTTGACTTTCCTGATTAGTTACGTACAAAAACAATTGCGTGCACACGCTAAGACATGTCTCATGAAAGAACTTTAATTATTTGTGTGTTGACTCATAAAATTTATAACCACAGTTTCCTACTATAATAATAGGCGGCAAATAATAAAGGTATCTAGTTGTCTACTGTGATTTGCAGCTCTGAGTAATCAGTGAAGTCCCGTGAACAATAATAATTCATGTAATTCGCATACGATTTGGGACGTTCGTCGAAGACCGTCGCCCGCGCATGACAATGCGTTCACAAAGCAAAGATCCGATACGATAGCTGCACAATACCGGTCGATCACCTAACATCGAACTACCAATCTTTGCATCCTTTAGATTATTATCGTAGATATAAAAAGTACGTATAATACGCAGAAATAAATAAGTCTGGTTTTAAAAAGATATTAAGCTACTTATACCAAAAGTAGAGTTTTAAAAAATAACATCTACGTCCTCATTGTATGTTATTGCTCTTTACTACATAACGAGTGGTCAAAATTAGTAAAGCTTATGACCAATTGAAAATTGGGGCCAGTAAACTGTAAAACGAAATAATAACACGGTATTGAACACTCATAGTGTATATGATTCATACATTAGTCGATGGGTATACCTACTTACTTATAACAATTGCCCTTTAAAATTCAAATCAACAAAATGCGACAAACGTAAGGTTAAAAATTGCTTGTTTCAAATAAAATTATCATTTTTAGTTAATTTAGTTTTCAGTATAGTATTATGAAAATTTTACCTACCAATAAATTCTCCTAAACGTGATCCTAGTAGAGCTCCAGCGCTAGTAACAATTGCACATGTATTGAAGGTACGGTGTTCTTGTAACGGCCCTTTAGGAATGCGGAATCCTAGCCTCGAAAAAGGTTCATCTTCAGCTATAACGGTCCTGACAGGTATCTTTCCAAGGGCACACAAGATATCCTCTCTGTTAAATGATTTAGCTGTACCTCTTTCGTATTTCACATCATAAGGATTTTGTGAATCTAGGCCAGATGTAAACACTTTGCTATCACTCATCAGTACTCTATGAAACTCCTTTAGTAATAACTCCTTGAACTCTGTCGTCTTAGTTATACATTCAGATGTGGTCAAATCATTACATACGTACTTGTCGCTATCGAGCTCGAGTATAGCTCTATGTATGTTAGGAAATCTTGGACTGCCGCGGCTTTTCACGACAATGTTATTAGATCGCAACTGACTTCCAAAAGATTTATTAGACCAATGCTGGCCTGTTTTAAATGACACAACTGATCGTTTACGCACAGAATCCGCTTTCACTAGTGACATATTTATTATTGTATTAATATTATTTTCGGAAAACGTCTCTTGGAAACTTACTCCCGATATGCCATTTTTCTGTGGAGATACATGAGACTTACTGAAAAGTCTTTGCTTTTCTAAGCTCATCCAGTACTGTGACCATATTAAGTATAAGTAACCACACATCCCAAAACAGAGGAGATTGATGAAAATCCAAACAGACATTGCCGCTGCTTTCATTTTTAGAAACAACACAAACCTACATACGTAAATATTTAATGCTATCACAACTAGCTTTAGTGCTAATAAGATATAGTAAAAACACTTATATATTACTTAGTAAATGTTTACATCACAACCATAAAAACATTTAGGAAGCTGGCGTAAAAGTCAATGGGTGGAGTACGATCAGCTGAGACTAAAAAAGCATACGCATGCGTATTTCTGCATTCTACCGCAACTTATCTACATAATAATACAGTCGTACAAATGACCAATATAATTTGGTATCAAAATTAACTTGAACCGAATAAAATATTCTACTTAAATGCAAAATTAGAAAAAAAAAACAAACACTAATTAACAAAATTGTCTACTATCAACGATATATATATGTACGTATTTATTCGTGATATAAGATACCCCTCCGGTTTCATTAGGGAGTTTTTTTTATTTTGACATAAAATATTTTTTTACTTTGTAAAAATATATCATAATTGTGTTTAGTTAAATCTAATCTTATATTAAATATACGATCAGCGTTACTTTGTTTTTATAATGTTGACTTTCAATTGACATAATATAGGTAATAATAAATTATGTAAAATAGGTAATAATAAAAATAATTATAATTAATTAAAGTTTATTAGTTACTGTAAAATGAGCTAAGCTATGTCAAGGTAGCGTAATACTGATCATATTAATAATTATTCGTCGTATATATGGTCAATTTAAAATATTATACTATGTCTACACTAAAAAGGGAAAAATAATAACTAAAAAAAAACTACTTCAAAAAAAAGCACTAAAAAGTAAAAAAATAATTGATTGGTAGTTTTCAATTACTTTAAAGATACCTAATCAAATATTTTCGAAGTCGGTGCCAGCTTGATACAAATCAAAGCATCAATCAATGATTTTTACTTTTTAGTGCTTTTTTTTTGAAGTCGGTTTTTTTTTTAAGTTTCTATTAATGATATCTATACACCCTATAATACTTTCGTTATCAAGACGAATCGAATGACGTTTGAATTATCAAAATCGATAAAGCCGTTTAGTAATTACGAGGGAACATACATACAGGTCAAACACATAATCCTCCTTTGGGCTTCGCCGCAATCGAGTATAAATTGAAAATTACGTCAGTTAGTACTATAGAGGATACAAGTAAAGTATTTCAGCCAAGTCTTATATAACCACTAGCAGTACCCGCGGCTGCGCCCGCGTCCAAACTTCCGATCGCTAACAAAATTCACAGTGTCGCCCGCTGCGCTAATCTGAAGATGACCTGAAAATTTCATCTGTTTTGGAGTCCATAGGAAACATACATACACACATCGATTTTTATTTCATTTAATCAACATTTTAAATTTATTTATTGCTCGGAAAATGGAGTCTTTCATGAAAATTTAGTGATACACCGACTGCAGCGTCACCTACTACCTACCTACAAGGTTTGAAAACACAAATGGACCCATTTGTGGGACCTTGCAAGGACCCACTCGAACATACACAAAAAATATCATTAAAATCGTCCCTGCCGTTTAAATGATCCACTGATCACCGCTGTGCCACTGCACACCGTACAGCGCCACCTACCGGGTCCAATTGTGTTTTCAAACTATCCAGAAGCCCATTGAAATATACACACAAAATTTCATCCAAATCGGTCTAGTCCTTTAGGAGGAGTAGGTTAACAAACACACGTACAGAAGAAATATATATATATACTAGCGGACCCGACAGACGTTGTCCTGTCTACACGTCTTTAATTTGAAAATTTCAAACTTTTTTTAATAATTTTTTTGATAAAAATTATTATTCAAATTGTGAATCTAAACCATTCCCAGATCCCCTTGAACACACACAAAAAATTTCATCAAAATCGGTCCAGTCGTTTGAGAGAAGTTCAGTGACATACACACTCACAGAAGAATTATATATATAAAGATATATATATATATATATATATATATATATATATATATATATATATATATATATATATATATATATATATATATATATTAAGATATCTTATAACTCTCATTTTGTTTTAGGAAACTAAATTTAATACTTTAACTTAGCAAGAAATAAGGAAAACCCAATATCAGATAGTAATAAAACACCAGTTTCATCGATAACTTTGTATTTTTAATTTGTATCGCTTTATGACTAGAGAAAAAGTATTACCTACATACGTCAAAAAACTATTTTAAAATACAAAGAAGAAAAAACCCTTGTGAGTTATATAATAAAAACAGCTATTGTATTACATACAGACATATATGATTATAAAGTTTAAATAAAAACGGAGTGGTCACCAAATATTTATTCTAATAGATCCGTCTTCTGGCCCCTTCACTACATTTTAAATTATAAACAGTATTGTTTAAGTTCATTATTCATTTATATATTTAAGAAATTATTTAACTTATTATTAATTATTTTTGATTAAATAACTACAAATTTATTTTACATATTAGGTTAATTATTTAATTATAACATTTTATTGCTAATAAGTTTATTTTAACTTTCAATAGATGTGAACTGTTCATTTCGAAAAGAAAATATTATACACTCTATCAGGTACAATATAAACTTAAAACCTTAGACTATAAACTATAGATGGAGCATACCGAATATAATTATTGAAGCCTAAAATAGAATTATAATTAGAAGCATATATAATACCATTCCCGTCACTATGCTCCGTGTTCTAATAAGTAGCAAAACAATCAAATAAATATGATAACTTTTATTATAAAACCTCAACAGAAAAGTAATAAAGATAGTATTATAAATAATTCATTACGAAATAAAAATAATGACTAAAATTGACATATTTTTTTTCTATCATTTAGTGTTTTATGCATTCTGTCCCATTTTATGATTGAAATATAAGCTAGCTGTTGTTTTTAACATTTATACATAGATCAATTTCATCTTAATAAAACTAATCAGTTTTAAAATTTACTCAAAAAATACTTCACGTCAGATCCATTTATAGAAAAAAAATTTCTAACATTAGCAAATTGTTTATTATTGGTGTAGTTCTGCGAACCATAGACCTCGCGAGCACTAACTTTTTTGCGACAACTAATATACCACTAAAGTTATATGAGCAATTTACTGAATTTTGAGGCGCTATTCTGCCCATCACGCCGTAAATCCTCATCAGATCTTCACCAATTTTTTATGAGACCAACTTAAAGTTACTACCTTTCAAGTAAAAAAATAACAATCTAAATCGGATCTCACAACGCGGAGATATCCAGTAGTCCCCTTATTACCCCTTTTGGAGGTAGTATCCCTCCAATCAAAAATCCCCGACGGCAAAAAAAAACTATAAAGTCTTAAAACCTGTCTATTAAGTTTCGTCTAGATCGGTTATAACATACGATTGTACGGGAGTACCAACAAACTAACAGAGGAAAGCAAATTTTGCCAGAATAGAAGCAGAGACGCTTCCCTCGCTCGGTCAATTAATTATATTTACATCTACATTTTTAAAATAAAATAAAAACCGACTTCAAACAAAAGCACTAAAAAGTAAAAAATAACTGATTGGTAGTTTTCACTTACTATACATACCTAATCAAATATTTTCGAAGTCGGTGTGCTTTGCTTTGTATGGGCTGGCACCGATTTCGAAAATATTTGATTAGGTATGTATTTAATAGGTAGGCTTTAATTACTTAGCCAAAGCACACCGACTTCGAAAATATTTGATTAGGTATGTATAGTAAGTGAAAACTACCAATCAGTTATTTTTTACTTTTTAGTGCTTTTGTTTGAAGTCGGTTTTTATTTTTTTGTTAAAAAGTTTTTATTTTTCCCTTTTTAGTGTAGACAGTAGTAGCGAAGTAAGAATTCTAACGTGTTAGGCTTGTCAAATCAAACAAAATAAGCCCAAACTCGAAGTATCTACTATTAGCCGTTGAAGAGTTCCACCTATCCACCTTCTGGCCTTACCATCAGATCAGGTCAACAACACCGAACCACTGTACTATCAACGGAAATAGAAACACTTGCAAATTTAAAGTTAATATGACAATTAGAAGTAGGTTAAATTCATCATTAGCTGCTTTTCCACCCTTAAGGGTGGTATTTTTTTTTTAAATTTAAATGGGACCAATCTGGAAGTATACCCTTTCAAACAACACAAAAATTGTCCAAATCGGTTAATAAATGACGGAGTTCTGAGGTAACAAACATAAAAAAAAACATACAGTCGAATTGAGAACCTCCTCCTTTTTGAAGTCGGTTGAAAAAAACATTACGCCCATTTATTTAATAAACATATATAATTAAATTTTATTAGTTCATTATAATATTTGATATGATTAAGTATTTTTACTGAAATCTGACTGATATCAAGTGTCCAAATATTTACTTTGGTCAAATATAAAAACGTTATTTAATTCTGTATGTTAAAGTTTAAAGGGTGCAAGTTTTTCATATACTTTGTGCGTACAGTATTCATTCTACTCTTTATTTTTTCATTCTATTCTTTATTATTCTCGAGAAGTGTCTTGTGCGCCCAGTGTTTCAATTCGCTCAACTGCTGTTTTGTTATGAAATACCTTAGAATATTGTTTCTCATATATAGTTTGCCATATTTTTCATGGTGTTAGGAATTTCAAAATACACTTTCTTAGTTATTTTCTATTTGGCTTTCAATGTAAATAGACCAGGGTCGATAATTTTTGAAACAAAAAAAAAAAAATATCATAAAACCCATTACAAAAGGAAGAGAATATAACAAAAATGAAAGGCAAAATAATTTACGGGCGATCTGAGGTCGGGAAGTGGAAAGTGGTGAGTTTTTAAGGATAAAAAACGGTTTATCACGATTTCTGACCCCTGACCCTGGTTTAAAAGTAAATGGTAGGGAAAATCAAACTATATAAAATTAGTGTAACCAGAATTAGTTTTACTAAAATAGATTTTCTATCCACACATAGCAATAGTAAATTGAAAATTTCAATTATTGGATGTGAAACATCTATTGGCACGCCTTGGCAGTAAAACCGACTCGTATGCCGATACAGAGAAAGGCATGAGTCATGACGCTCTACTGATTCTACGCCACCGCTCTCGCCTCGCTTGCGTGTGCGCACACATATACTGTACACTTTTTGGCTTCTCTGTGTATTTACCGCTTGTATACATGCTTTGTATTTTTTGAATAAAGATTGTTTTTCTTTTAAAAAATTTGAATATCTTGTTTTTAATTATATTTCGATATTTCACATCTGCCAGACGTCCCGAGACGCGGCGACTGTTTTGTTTTGTTTTTTTGTTCTATATGTTCAAATATATTGTAATGTAAAATAACAACTAGATTCAAAAACATGTTGACATGATAACTCTATAAATGAAGTATTACTAACGAATATGTTTTTAATGCTGAAAATATTCAAAATACTAAATCAATAATAACTAAAAAGTTCCAAAATATCACATGATATATAAAAAAACCTTAAGATATTCTCCATTACAAAAACACAATGTTGTTCTTTGAAGGTATCATAATAATTCATTTATTGTTCTTTTGTTAAAGAAAAAACGTTTTATTTGAACTCTAGTATAAAAGAAAAATAACGAATTTAATTAAGCCATTAAATAAATGCCAAAAAATAATATTATTTTTGGTTTTGTAGCTTCATGACATAATTCTTTATACATAGTTAAGTACATATCACCCAATTATCAACCTATAATGGCCCATTCCAAAAGCAATGAAGGAGTAAACGAGGGCCATGACAATCATTTTAACTAACTGAGGCAAGGTGGTATGGAGGGAAGGTCAGCGGTCCTCCCACCGCGTGTAGCGCTCGCCCTGCTCGCGGGACAGGATAGTGGAGTAGTGTAGTATGGGCAGGATTGCACCGGCTAGGACCACTGCCCCAAAGGATGGCTTTTGGAGAAACCTGGAATAGGATAGAAAATTTTAGTTGTAGTGGATGAGGGATGAGTATAGTGCATTTAACTAGTATGACCAGGGAAGAGAATGAATAAGAAGAAATTGAATGAGTAAATTAATTAACAAGCAGTTCTATTCATATTATTGCGTTGTGTGAGACAGACTATATCTCAACCACTCATAGCCTTCTTTTTCTTTCTTTGACTCTTTATCTATTATATTATTATTATATTTATCTAGGGATATCGCTCATATTGCATATCTTACCATTACCATCAGACAGACTGCATACTTAAAGACCAATTTTCGCTTGTCTCTTGTTTTAATATAGATAAAGAAATCTTTTAATGGTGGAAAGAGAAACCATTAAAAAAATAGATAAATATTATTTTCTCAAAAATAATAAAAGTTATATTAAAATAATTCTTACATTAACTAACTAGATTTTGTATAAAATTTTAAAATTTCTTACCATGGTAATGATATGACGAACAATGTGTACGAGAAAGACAAGACCAAGTTAGCCCAAACTCTCGTACAACGCCTTAAATTATTTGACACCCAGTGACACTGTAAAACTATAAAAAACATATGATTAAAACAAGAATTATTTAATAATAATGTAATGTAAATCTACCATTTCTGTATGACATTGGCAAATTATATCTATACTCCACTGCCATGCTTTGAAGCCATTAACAATAAAATTGAATTGAAGTCTTCAATTTTTCATTCAATTCAAAGTCTATTAAATTATTGAGTAAAAGAGCTATTCTATTTACATAGGGTATAATAACATATTGATGTTATATAGTTATTGGCATCAAAACAAAGTGACGAATAATGATTATTGATTACTGCTGTATATCCAGAGGTCATGAGTTCAAGTCTCAGGTTGGGCTATTGGGATTTTATCTTAAAATATTTGCAGTAAAAGTTATCGCCAGCGCCTTGGATAGCAGTAAAGTTAGCCCTGCACCTGATCACTCAACAGTATACTTATATACATAAAAGTATACTCATAACAGTATATTTTTTATACATTACTAACGACTCGCCCTTCGAACCCTAATTCTTTTTCTAAAATAAAAGTAGCCTAAGTTACTCCTTATAGCATCAGCTATCTGCTTGTGAAAGTCCTGTTAAAATCGGTTCAGCCGTTTTGGAGATTAAGACAGAACAAAAAGACAAATAAAAATTTTAAAAACTGTTTTCTTCATAAGTACCATATATAATTTCATATGCAGTTAGTAAAAAGCTGTTATTTTGACATTACAAACAGACACTTCAATTTTAATTATCTGTATTGATAACCTTGGAATTATTATTATAAAACTTACGCAAAGTCAACCACTCAGGATGCAGGGTCATAGCAGATGCAAACACTTGAACAAATCCCAACATCCTGTACTTCCAAGTATGTGTGTTTGCATCTCGTTTTTCCAGATCATACAATTGTTTCAAACTGTATGAACCTTTCCTCATGAGTGAGACAGGATCTGCTGTGGGGAAGCTCTGTGGACTATATGGCTGGAGGACACCCCTTTCAACTACACCAACTGCTGTGTACTGTAAAATTAATAGTTATTTTAGCTCATATTCTATAGAAAAACCCAGCACTTCATTAATTGATTTTACATTTTTAATAATTTATGTTATATTTATTTTATAAACATATATTTAAATAGTTCATTATTTTTTTTAATATATTAAAAGAATGAAAAAAGGTTTTATAATTATGATATTTTATAAGATTGCTAATAGTCAACTGCTACTATAACAAATATAATATAGTTAAAGTAAATATAACTAAAAAAACAGAAAAAGCAACAAGAGGATACAAAGCCAATAATTCATGGATAAAGAGGATACATTGTATTAAAAAAGGAAAAGATATTATTAGAATTTTTACTTGGAGTTAAGGGACAATATAATGACTTACAATGTCATCCTCCCGTCCTGCATAAGAGAAATGAATTCGAAGATCACCTATTTCATGTTCCAATGCGCTGTTCCCGTGGTAGTAGAATCCAGAATGCAACTTAATATCACTACGATCAGGCCTAGTATCTGACCAAATTTCATAATAGTCATTTACTTTTCGTTTTACATCTAACCCTAAAAAATTAACATTATTTTTTACTGAAATCATCTTAAAATTAAGCAGTTGTTAACTTCATTTTACATCATTTTTTTTATGAATAAAAGATATAAAACTTTCTTAGATTTAAGCGAATGTTTGACATTATTAAATAAAACTATCTTTTTGGATTATTTCGCGGATTTATTTTGATTTTTGGTTCCCGACGTTTCGAATGCTTTACAGCATCCATGATCACGGGAGAGACTGAGGTGTTACATGTCTTGAATGTATAGTTGTTACAGACAGCCTACCCACAATTAACAAAACTCATTTTGTAATAATCTCAAATTTGAAATAATCCGAAAAGATAGTTTTATTTAATAAGATATAAAACTAAAAAAAATATAAAGGTAATATAATTCACCTGAAACAAACTGATGTAATGTAATGTCTACATAATTATTGTACTACTAAGGTTTACCTAAACTCATCCATCCAATTTTAACATTTTCAGCTATATGTGTTTCACTAAACAGTGGCATAGATGTAGGATTATGGTGTCCAGGCCTTATGTAAAACAATGCAGAGTCTACCACATAATCTCTCCAATCTTTATGATACCAATATGTTTTCTGAGATTCTTCTGCTGGCTCACTCAGGAAATTTTCAGTTTCCCTAATGAAAATTAAATAAAGTTATGAAAAAAAATTCCATTGATTTATTTTGATATATTGGTTCTCAACACTTCGAATGCTTTATAACAATAATGGTCTCGGGGGAGACAAGGGTTTAGATGTCTTAAATAATGTTGATAATGGATTAATAATTTTGTAATATCAAAAATCTACCTAAAATGTTGAAGCTGTAAGTTCAAAACTACACAATATAAAGTTGTATCTTACGTAGTTTCTTCAATCCACTGATACATTTGAACTCTTTTTCTCAACTTAACAGCTTGTACATGTATATTGTAATCAGGTTCAGAAATAGGCTCTAGAATCCTGAGTGGTCCCACAATGTGCACAACCCTCCCTTCATATCTCTCAGCTTCATCGCCTGTGTGTACATCTATACTCTCTGCCACAGAAACCACTTCCTCTAACATAAGATTACTTTGTATTGTTTGGCACTGAAATATTAATTAGCATGTGATAATATTAATACTTGTTGATCATCAATATTTTAATAATATAATTTATATTTGCTTATATCACATTTACTTGAAAATCCAATGGATTTAATAGATATAAGTAATACATATAATTTTCAAAATACATATACCTAATACTAACCTCAGACCATATAAGGAAATAGGTAACTCCTGAGAATAAGATCAGGCTAAGAAGAGTAGTAAACCAAGTTTGCTTATAGTGATTCCAAACAATTCTCCAATCCATCTGAAATATACATTCGTGTAAACCTCAGAATAGGCAAATCATATGGTATAAACAAAACAAATGTGTCACAATGTTTTAAAACTGTAAAATTTGATGAAATAAATTTCAAAACATACTTTACGTTGCACTCCCAATAAATTTCGCCGGTATGTTTATACTTTCAAGGTTCAGACCCCTGCCTCGGTGTTTTAACAGAGAGCGATTTATAAGTGAGTATTAGAATCGTTTAAGCCGAACCTACTAATATTCTACATTTATTTATATATAATAAGTCTGTAAATAAATTCAGATCATATTTACAAAGTACCAAGTACCATTAATTTTAAATTTTTAATGTAAAATGTAATTTTGAGACAGAGATTATTTAATATTTATATAACACAGATTAATTAGATTATTTTTACAGATTAAGTAGATAGTAGATATCATCATATCACAAATTAAACAGGAACGAGTTGAAGAACTCAACCATAACAATGGTGGGTGAACACTATGCAATATTAAGGTGTGCCAAAATATTTTTAAATATGAGTTTCAAAATATTTTAAAATTTTATCAGTATTTATTCAACTTAGATTGAAATTTATAATTTTAAGTGTTTATGATTCTTTAAAGTGATAAAAATTTCGAAAGGCTAATAACGTGATTTAAGCGTAAACACCATCTTATACTCTACTATAGTGTATAGACCATGGATGACAAATGTACAAGAGACAAAGAGTATAATAAATTTAATAATACAAGGAAACCAGAGATGAATAATATTATACACTCTTGTTCCTGGACTGTGATACCCATGTTACCACCATGGTTCGTGATCGTGATAGACGCTTTGTCAATTGTCATTTGTCACTTCTGACTTCTGACAGATTAATAATTCGTAAATAAACAACGATTTTAGGTTATTTCATCTTAGATAGATTAATATTACTTATTATAACTAAAAATAAAATAATGTTCTATTAAAATAATGTATATGAAAATAATCACACAATGCTTTCGAAGACCTATACATATGCGCTTATCATTATTCCCCCAAAATATTCGCGGAAGCCGGCGATTTTATCATGATTTACCCTTCATACATTTATATAAAGATGTCACGGGTATGTATAAGAATTTTAAATATTATTTGGCTCCTAAATAAAATAACGAAGCTTTATTTCTGACTATAAAATTATTTTTGCAGGTGAAACTATATCGGAATATTTTGCATTAGAACTACAAAAAAAGAATCATAAAATTAAAAACCTTAGTCGAGAACAATTACTAAATACTTTACAAGTACTAAGCAAGTTTGGAATAAACGCAAAAGATGCATGCTTAAATCCTCATATATTCTGTATGAACCTCATTTCAATGGATAATTATGGAGAAATTTTAAAGGAATGTAACTTTACGGTAATACTTCCTAAGCATATTATAAGGTAATACACAAAGATTGTATTTAAAAAAAGATAATGCATCAAAAATGAAATTTATATTGACACATATTAATGTCTTATTTCTAGATATCATACTTTGGTAAAATCAAGAACAATATCACAATTAAAAAAGGATGGTCTTCTGAAAGATAACCTTAACTTAGAAGAATTATTATACAATTATTTCCATGACTGGCCAAGAGAATATATTCATTTCCTTAACTTTCCTGATTCCAATACTAATATTTGTTAGTAAAATTTATTTACTATGTCTAGAACAGTACAAATTGTATACCTATCAATTAATGATATATTGTAATGTAATTAAACCATAACATTATTAAAAAAATAATATTTAGGTAATAATGATCTACTTTAATAAAAATGTGCAATAAACTGTTTTTTGAATATATGCCATGAGTCATGCACTTTATAATCAAATAATAATTTTATTGCTTTAGTAAAAAATAAGTATTATTTGTGAATTTATTTATAAAAATACATTTAAAATATATTTAATTCTGTTTCTCTAAACACAAAATTTTGCTTTCCAGTAACTGTAAGGCTGAGTATCTTAGAAAGATATCTTCAGTGGAAATTTTCTATATCATCTGAGGAATTTAAGAAGTATTGTAAAAACTACTTGCCCCTAAAACATAGACCCATGTGTGACATACAAGAAGCTTTAAACATTGCTCAAAATGATATAAAATTTGATACTGAATCTATAAGAAGGAATGGATTCATCATATCATCAGATCCAGTGAATACTAAACTAATATTGGAAAATGTGGATTCATTAGGAGGCCTAGATATCAGAACTGCGATAAAAATTGAACCAGCCATATTAAAAAATCACTACCAAGCTCTTTTAGATATTAAAAATATACTTGAGGTAATTATCTATATAATCTGTCTATAATATTTTAATTGATCATATTCTGAATATTATATAAATGAAAATAAAGTATCAGCGGTAATATAAAATATTTTTATGTTAATCTATATGTCTGTCTGTATCTGTTTATATTATCTGGACCATCTTTATCAGTGGTCTAGTGTCTGCCAAATATGGCTGCATATCTGGAGGTCCCGAGTGCGAGTCCCGCGATAAGCTAATTTTAGTTATTGAGTTTTTCTTTTAATACATCCAGGTAATCTTCTAAAAAAATAATTAAAATTATAAGAAATCTATTGTTAACTGACACGCCGGCGTGTCCGCGGTCGTGGAGGGATTAAGAGATTCTAAATAGCTCTCTGCAATTGAGAAATTGGCGATGTTACGCCCCTGTGCCTTGGAAAGGACTTAAAGCCGTCGGTCCTGCACCATACCAATTCATTCTATACTGCCTCTCATCAAGCACCCTCGTAATAAAGAATAAAGCAAGAAGTTATATTAATAAGAAAATATGTTCCTTCAGGAAAAAAAAGAGGTAACTGGAGCAAAGTCATTTTATTTTTGTTGATCTTAATTATGTATTATTCATTTTTAGCAATACAACATTTCAAATGAAGCTCAAAGAAGCTGTTTCAAAGTGTATTGCATGCGGCCTGAAACAGTGCGAGCGAGATTGGAACATCTTACAAACCTAAAGGAATATCGAGTATTGTCATCTAATCCTAGAGTAAGTATTGACTAATTTTTAAGTTTTATTAAATTACATTATACATAATATGTATTTGTAATAGGTACGTGGATTTTGTTCGCAATTTCATGGATTTTAATTTTTTTGCGCCGAACCTTAATCCCTCCACGACCGCGGAAACGCCGGTGTGTCAGTTAATAATAGATTTCTTAGAATTTTAATTAATTTCTTAGAAATTTACCTGGAGGTGTTAATTATCTTCCTAAAATAAAAGTAGGCGAGTTTAGTTGTTACCAGGGTGCGCCGGCGTCCGTCCGAAGCGCGTCCAGTTAAAGTTGAATGCTATTTAATATGCTTGACCATATAGTTATGAGCTCAATATACATTTGAGGCTTCTAAATCCCCGAAACTATCAATTTTTTAACTTTGTTGTGTTCATATAAAATTTCAATCATTATCTTTTACAAACTATGATATAGTTAACCAAAGATTCAGCAAAATCAACTGAATATAGTATTTTTTTCCAGTAAATGTTTAATGTGATTCTTTAAATTGACATGATTTTTTTTATTTATGAATCGATTGAAATAAATCATAATACAATAGTGAAAACCGCACCATTTGGGTGCGGTTAAGCTGTTTCTGAGATTAGCACGCACAAACGCACAGACAAACAGACAGCAATTCTAAAAACCATTATTTTGGGTTCTATTGCGTTAATAAAGACCCGCAATAATAGTTTTCCTCAAATATCTTCCATGTACAGACAGCAATCTGTTACAATTTTATTATATGTATAGATACTATATAAACATTTGCTGAGAAGAATTTAATATTTTTTTTGTTTATAATACTAATTATAATTTAAAAAAATTATATACACAGGTGCTATATTTAGTGGTTCACGAAAAAAAAATGATGACTCGCTTATCAAAGATACAGGCAGCCAGGAAACAATGCTTCAGTCTCAACCATCTAGTGGCTTCAAGTAAAGTTTTTAATACGTAAGTACAAATTTATATTTAAAAAAAACTATTATAATATATTTATATGTTTTTTTGTCTGGTTCTTAACAAACAAATATTTAAAATGGCTGTAACCATTTTGATGTAACTTTTGATGTTAAAAGCCTCACTAAATTATGAAGTATATTTTTATATTGTACTAGCATTGCCCGCGGCTCCGCCCGCGTTCAAATGACCAAAAACCAAATTCTTAGGTTTTACATATTAGTATGTATACTCTTATATTACAGTTTTTGTATTTTTTCTCAGTAATAAGATATTTCTCCGCGGTAAAAATTATCCTATATGTTGACCCGGATAATCAGTTATATATACATCACTATACCATATTTCATCATAATCCGTCCAGGAGTTTTTCTGTAATGTGGTAACGGACAGACGGTCAAAAATTTTAAAAACTATAGATTCGGCATATGTATCGATAATAATGTTTATTTCAATAAGATTTTCCAAAAAATATTTAATGTACAGATTCGGCTTGGTTACAATTTTATTATATGTATAGATTATTTTTTCCCAGGTACATTAATAGCTTTGGTAACAAAGTCTGCGGTAGAGATATGGCAATATTAATTAGCTCGTCTCTACAAACGAAAGAGATATCAAATAAATCCGTATTAAAGAAAATGAAGAAACACAAGTATTGGCTCTACACAGCTCTGAATGTCATCGGGGAGAATATAAAGTTGTTGAAAAAGCAATTCAGTGATGACGTCATATTTAATAACTGTCATTTATTGTTATACCCCGGGTAAGTATAAAACAAATTATTATTAATCATCCAACTATAAGAAATTAAAAAAAATACTCGTTATGTAAGAAAATACCCCGTTTTTTGTGTCTTGTATTATGGAAAATTTGTTTGGGCTTATGTTAGAAGTAGTACATACACCGATTTTAACGCGACTCTAATTCAGAAACGTAAAGGAAAATAATATATGAAAAATTATGAATTAAACTATTTAAAGTAACAATTGTTTCTAGTTCTTTACGTGTAACTACAGAATTTACACAATAATATAATAGTAATAAATTCCTTGTTTCAGTTTCGAGCTAGAACAATATATAGAGATCCTACTAAAAATCCGAGACGGCGGCACGCCGACAGAATCTAGTAGAGATATAGACATAATGTATAGGAACTTGAACTGTCACATACTGACCGACAATCAAATATTGAGCTTAGTTTTGTATGAAATAGAAAAGAAATATCACTTCAGTGGTGATGGAGTGTGGAACAAGTCTGATGGTAAAGGCACATGGTCTCACCAAACTAAGGGAAATGTTATTAATTAAATCTGTATGAAAAATCAGTTAGTGCGAGTCAGACTCGCACACAAACGGTTCCGTACCATCGTACAAGATATAACACTGTATTATACTAATCCATTTTTTTATTTGCATGGCGGCCATCTTGGTTTTTTATTGTTTGTTGTTATAGGGGCAATAGAAATATGCTATAAAAGAAATGGACGTAGTTATGCAAAATGGATACAGTCCATAAAAACCGTTGTTTAAGTTACTGTCATAAATGGCACCAACATATCTATAATATAAAAATGAATCTCTGAATGTGTTGGTAAGCGCAAACCTCGAGAGCAGCTGAACCGATTTCGCTAATTCTTTTTTTAGAATGTTCCTTGAAGTACGAGGATGGTTCTTACGGAGAGAAAAATTTAAAAAAATGTCCGAAAAAGTCTAAAAAAACACTTTTCTATACTCCCATACAAAAGATTCATAAGAATACTTAAAAGTCAATTTAAACGTTACTACCATACCATAAAGTTTAAGTGTTAGTGGAGAGGTTCCGGGAAGGCAAACAATTGAGTGACGTTAGTATCGCATAAATATTAATGTCAATATTTTTCAATATTATTAACAAAAAAAATTATATGGCTAATGCTGGCTAATAACTATTTATATCTATTTAAAACGTACCTCAACTTATATACAGAACGTAAATCAGCCGTTCTGGCGTGAAAGAGTAAGAAACATCCATTTATCCATCCATCCTCACAAACTTTCATATTTATAATAATAATATATTATGTTGTGACATTAACACATAGCACCATCTAGTTTCATAGTAAGCTACGAGGCTTGTGTTATGGGTACCAGATAGTTGATACACTACACATATTATATAACTTTAATTACATACATATTATTATAAATGACATATATAGAATAAACACCCATGACTGGAGTACAAACATTCGTGCTCATCACACAAATGAATGCCCCCAGCGGGACTTGAACCCGCGACCACTCGTACAACAAGTAGGGTCACTACAAACAGAGCCAAACGTGTCGTTATATTAATAAGATTATAGCGACTCACCCTCGCTTCGCTCGGGTTCGTCCCTAGGTTGATTGATTCCCTATACAAACTTTCATCACCATTTTTGCCCCCTTAAGGGAAGATTTCTGGGATAAAAAGTATCCTATGTCCTTCCCAGAGTCTCAAACTATCTTTTTACCAAATTTCATCTAAATCGGTTCAGTAGATCCAGAGATTACCCCCTAAAACGTCACAAACTCACAATTCACAAACTTTACCTCTTTATAACATTATTAGTATAGATTAACATTTTTCATATGTTTTTTTTTCATATGGTCCATTTATGCAACGACAGCCTGATAATGAAATACAAAAGATCGTAACAAATATTGTTTATCAAGATTTTAGGCAGCGATATTTGATTTTATCGATATTTTTCGATTAATTATTATATTATAAAAAACATTACCTTATAAGTAAGCCGTATTGTAATTATATATTAATATATGTCAAAAAAACATTTGTAAATAAAAGACATTGATAAGCACATTTTTGTTATTATTTTTGAAAATTTTATCTGAACTATACTATAATATTGCTTCAAAAACTTAATGTACAAAATTTCATGCAATATCTTAGCCTATTCTTAACTTTATCATAATGTTAAAATTAAATACATTTAATATATCAGAATAAATACCCTGGAGCATAATTTTACCAGATTTGTTTGTTTTTGTTATGATATAAAAATATTTCCCATTATCTTTCACATTTCGTAACAGGTAAAACTTTAATAAATATTAAAGAGTGGCTTTCGAAGGGTACCTAATCACTACATACATATATTTAGTTTGAAGAAATAAGGTGTATAATTATTTCACAAACGAGTATTTACTTATTTATAATACTAAATAATAAATCTTAGAAAATTATCTAATATTTGGCACGTCATTCACGTTATACAAAATACACCTTAAAAAAGTGGTCTTTCGAGTCGGATAATTTTTAATAATTTATACAACTCGACCATTTATGATTTATATCTATAATGATATTTTTACAGCTGTATTTCTACAATATTTATCTCCTCCATATTACTATTAAATGCTAGAAAATGCTTTTAGTATTATAATATTAGTATTTTAACACCAAAAGCTTTTAAGTTTAACTTATAATATTTTATTTATTACTAAATTGGGTTGAACCCGTAGTACAATATATACTAGATGCAAAAATATAATAAGGCACGAGGAATGCACGAGTAACTGTACCAAATTCTATACACTACAATACAAAGTAATAATGTATACTTTCATTAGTATCGATTTGGCAGTTAACTATGTTTAATTCATGTACTTTGCGTATGTATATCTCAGATATTTTACTATTTAATATGTACAATTACATTTCATTTTAACTAAAATATATTTAGTTACTCTTAGAAAATATTTATCTAAGTATATATTTATTCTAGTAATAATCCGTAGATAAATTATAATCTAAAAATATTTTTTTAATCAATTTAATGAAAATAGATAACGAATTAACAATAAAGTTTTACGCGTGTTCCGGCACAACAATAATGTAACCTTTTAAGTTTTAACATAAGTGTTCTCTTTACAATTTAGGCCTTCCTTTGAAAATTTATCGGCGTCTCATAATACTCCTTTTCGAAATTGATCTACGCGTTACGATAATTTCGAAAAGGAGTATTTCAGTTCAAAAAAGGGGGCAGTGAAGTATAGGGTTGACCGGGACTTGGCTCCATTTTTACTACTACAGGCTGTGATATATCGGAATGACGATCCATCTCGTAGTGCTTATCGTGCTGTACCATTCCGCATTTGTCGTAGTCTTCAGGCGGTGCGGCGTACCGAGGCGTGTCCTCTTGTAGTGCACACGACGAATACTTGTCCTCGTGATCGTGGGTTCGATACTCTAATTTATCATCGTGCCCATGTGCTTCTATCTGCGGAGAATGTGCTGCTATCATGGGGTAGTCCCTGACACCAAGTGGTGGAGGGCTACCTTCACCATACTCGTACGAATGACGCGGAGCAAACATTTGACCATCGTGTCCGTTGAGCACTGTTGTGTAAGAGTAAGCAGGTTGAGTGTTAAATCCAGGGTATCCGCTACTTCCTGAGGATAATAAGTGATGCGATGAAAGTTCATATGAATGTTGATAGGACCAAGAGTCCGCCGGGGCTGGTAATCCATTCTGAGGGAAAGCAGGCAAGTTTCCTCCGATACCGGAAAATCCACCCCCTAATGTAGTTGAACTCGGCGAACTGGAACCAATGTAGCCGGTCTTCCGAGGAGGCTCACGTTTACGCCACTTTGCTCTTCTATTTTGAAACCAAACCTATTTAAAAATAAAATATTTTTGTATTTTGTTTAAAATTATTCCTCTTAAAGATAACTTTTGTTAATATTGTAAATTATCACATTAGCTTTTAACATATTGCCTGTACTGTGTTTCATATTATATTGTTTTACAACTTTTACAATTAATAAAACGAATGAGACGTATCAGAAAAAAAACATGAACAAGAAGTAGTAACTATGCCTAAATTATAAAAAAACTTACCTGAACTCGTGATTCCGATAAATTAAGTTTCAGAGCAAGTTCTTCTCTCGCAAACACGTCAGGATAGGGAGCGCGCTCAAATGCGCGTTCGAGCTCTTCTAACTGATACGCGGTGAATGTTGTCCTATGGTCAAAGAAAATAAAACGATTAAAATAATTCAACTACTGTCAGTATTTAATTACATATTCATGAATAAATAAAATTCTTATCATCCGGCGGTGCATCCACCATCTGACGCGTGCAATATGGCTGCGGGCACGCGCGGAAATTGATTGAGCGTGAAACTAAATTCACCCCTGTTGCGCGTGCGCACCTCTAACTGCTTTCCAATTGACAACACTTCTGATATAGTTGTGGCATGTTATTAATTACAATTTAAGTATACGCAAATACTATAAAATATAAGTTATAATACTCAAATAATTTATTGACTTTATACTTTTTGGAGATTATATAATTATACCAATAATTTTATACTTCTACATACTTCTAGTTTAGTACTAGTAAGTAATTTAAATTGTAATTACTTTAAAAAAAATATAGAATATATTTTAGAATATATGTATCGTTAAAACTCGTTTAGAATTACATTTTCTTAGATTCATTTTATCTGTGATCAGACATTTTTATCGTACCATAATATAACTCTAAGATAAGGCAATGGACTCCCCGCAGTGATACGGGTAATTATAGTCACGAACATCTATTAAAGTTTAATAGCCAAGGCGTCAGCTTCATACTCATATTTGTTACAATTCAGCATTAAAAAAGGTGATATTTTTATTAAAACACAATATCTAATATCCTTTTAGTGTTGAAATCAAAAATCAAATTTTATTCTAAATGAGAATTAAAAGCAATAGGCAGTATAAGTTTATTTTTTCAATATATTTGAAATTTAGCTTATAAATATTATATTTGATATAAAAATATAAATAGTGGGCTGTAATACCATATGCCGGTACTATCGCATATTTAAAATCATCCTATTAGTTATGCATTAGGGTGAGTGCATCATGCGAGTATAATAGCAAGTTTATTATTTACTTTTTTTACTAACATATATTTATTCTATGTATTTTTTTAAATATTGTACAACACAAATATATTATTGTTTTATAGAAACAACTCAAATTTTCTTTTACTACTACGAGCACTCTCAGATTAAGCTACGACCTCGAAGACGTCGTCGTAGCGACAGGTGACTACGTCTTCGTAGCGCGTGCCCCTGAGTAGTATAGTAGTCACATATTGCTACGTGATAATTTGGATACAAACTATTTTTTATCTTTTTACTCCACTTGCTCCAAATTCTTCAAATGCAAAAAATAATACCACTTTGTTAAACGTATTTAAGACTAAATGTCCAAATTATAAATTGTGGTGCAAGTGTGGGTAAATAAGTAATTAACGTGTTATTTAGCCAAGTATATTATACATATAATAAAATTGTAACTAAGCCGAATCTGTACATTAAATATTTTTTGGAAAAATCTTATTGAAATAAACATTCTTATCGATACAGAGGCCGAATCTATAGTTTTTAGAATGTTTGTCTGTCTGTCTATCTGTTAACACATTACAGAAAAACCACTGGAGGGATTTTGATGAAATTTGGTTTGGTGATAGCTAGTTATCCGGGTCAACATAGAGGATAATTTTTAACGCGGAAAAATATCTCATTTTTGAGAAAAAATACAAAAACTGCAATCTACGAGTATACTAATAGGTATGTAAAACCTAAGAACTTGGTTTTTGGTCATCTGAACGCGGGCGGAGCCGCGGGCAATGCTAGTTTAAATATATTTTTGTAACTAAAATATTCTACGTGACTTTGGTGAAATAATCTGTGTTCAACTGGCACGATTTGACGCCATTAACAAGAAAATTGAATTGTAACTCAAATGTAATCCCATATTTTCAAGAAAACATCCCACCCCTTAAGGTAGAATAAATGACTTAAAAGTGGAGTTGTAACCCTCTTATTTATAAAGTAATTATAGGTGTTAATTGCATAGTTTACACACGAAAACATTAAAAGTTAAATGAACATACCTTGTTTTCTTTTTCTTGATTCCGTTGTTTTCACTTTTTTTCTTGTCGCTTTTTTTGGACGTTGACGGAGGAGGTGGCGGTGGCGGATGCGTCGCGTGCGACGTGGGCACCGTCTCGACCGCCTGTAGCAGCAGCGGCTCCTCTTTGCGCTTCTGCTCGCTGCCGGCGTACACCGGCAGGTCCTCGCGGTACTGCAGCTCGCCCCCTGCGCCAACCACGACTTGCACTTGCCGATCTTTGCCAAACTCGCCAAACATGTGCTCTTCAAACGTCGGCTGCTCCATGCCACCGCCACCCTCGAAGGCGCACTCGTAGCGAGGCCCGGCGCCGCCGGTGCTGTCTCCACACACGTACATGTAGCCGTCGGCGGCAGGCGGGTGCGCACCCGCTACCTCCGTGCCCACCTCGCTCGGCTCCGTCGCGGCCGCCTGCCTGCCGCTACTCGGACTCTGGGCTCGACGAGCCCGATTCACGATCGAATTATTGACTCAGATATTAAACAATTGAAGCTCATTTAGTCTAGTCCACGGGATCGACGCTCGCGCCGTTCGTTTCGTCGTGTCCGTCCCGGTTAAATGGCTTTAATCAACTTTAACGAACTAACCGAATTTGGTCTACGGTTGGTCAATTTATATTACCATAATACGACTCTCGATGAAGAAACTGAGCCAATGAGTGATCTGACCGAGCTCGACAAATGTGCGTGCGAGAATGCTATTTTATTTCGTAGTAGTTGAACCGAAGTGAGATATTAGATCGGGCGCAGCGGGCGTTTAGGACGATAGCACAATGTGGCAAGGGAGCCAATGGCGACGCTCGGGAGCCACACCCCCAGCGCTGCGGCGAGTGTCTCCCTCGCGGCCGAGCGGCGCGAGCTGCGGGCGCTATCCCAGTGCGAGCTCCGGACAAACGTATCATGCGGGATTCCCACAAATTCACCCGAGATGCTGTTTGTTTCGATCCTTTTGAAGGGTGCGAACACCCACATCATTATTTTGAAAGTCCATGGTATTTTATTATAAATCCGTATCAACACTACTCACATGTCCATTTTATGATTTATAGCCGTGGGAATAATTACAAAAGATACACTGTGTTTCGCCATTCAAAAATCCTATAAGATTTTAGGATAGCAATGTGTTAAAGTTAGATTATAAAATCTAGCACTTCGTACTAAAATATTACGAGACACCAGCCCTCGCAGTGGCGCGTTGCGCGCTAACTGATGCTGCCGATCAACGCTTCCATTGCTTAATTATTAATTAACAGTTATTGTAGAGGATTATTAATAAAACATTCGCCCTGACTATTGGCACTTAGATTAGCGCTGAGGGAGTAATGGCGCATTTCAACAATTTCGGTTGTTATTTAATTGAAGTCAATTTAGATGATCAGAGTCTATTTAGGTTGGTGCTGGCGCTCGCCAGCGGGATCTCTCCTTCATTGGGCTCATTGGTGACTTTCAGGCAACACGAATTGCACTCGCTGATGCACTTTTCAGCGCATTTGCACTTGTTACGACTAATAAAAGTGGGTCACGTAGATACATAGGAGTCGTAAAATTCTCATTGCATTTGTGTCAAGCCCTTAGGCATATACCAAAAGGATCAGTCAGTGATTGAAAATGTGAATAATATAGCAAATTGTGATATGACTTTTGTGGATCAACTTATGGTATACTTTAAGTGATGGTGTAGTAAACTTATATGGTGAAATGAGGGCAAATATCTTTTACAAAAGTGTTGGGTACTAAAAGTGATACCAGAGATAAACGTAAGTTTTAAATAATAAGCTATACATATGTATAAAAGCTTTAATTTGTACTGCTTATATTGTAGGTGAGAATGACTTCTCTCTTAGATGGTTTTAATGTAATATTAAAATATTTTATTACTATTTCGATTTCTTTTTCGATATTCAATATACATCCCGTTTTACTTTTTATAAATAAATAGAAAATAATCAACATTTATCAACTTTTAAAGAAGTTAAAATATTGCAACACTATACCTATAACTATATGTTCCTCGCTCAAATGAGAGCATAAAATGCGGAATCCAAGCTACATATAGCTACTTAACCGATTAAAAGAAAACTTTTAGAATATCATACAATCAGCTGTTATTGAATAATGTGCGATTGAAGTAAAGCTTGACTGATACAAGTTTAGTGATAAAAAATACCTAACATTTATACATATAATAAAACAGTAACTTAGCGAAATTTGTACAAGAAATATTGTTTAGAAATAATGACTGTTACGTATTGTGTACAATATATAGACCCCAAAACAATAGTTATTAAAAAAATTGTGTGGTTGACTGCTTTTCTCTCTGGATGTGGGCGTTACAAGCTCGTGCGCGAAAATTACTGAACAAGTTTTAACTAAATTTTGAACTTATTACTCGGGTCATATATCTAATATACCTATAAAAATCTCGTGTCACGGTGATTGTGGTCGCACTCCTCCGAAAAGACGACCGATTTTAATGATTTTTTTGTATATTTGGTAGGTACGAAAATAGGTCGTAAATTATTTTTAATTTCTCCTCTCTCCATTTTTTAATCGCGATTTTCGTATTTTTGTATGAACAATATTATATAAATACATAGCGAAGAACCCGAGCGAAGCGAGGATGAGTCCGCTGCAGGTATAACATAAAGCCAAAGAGTTTTTTTTGCAGATTGAACGCGGGCGTAGCCGCAGGTACTGCTAGTAATATAAACATATAATCTATACTTATAATAAAATTGTAACTAAGTCGAATCTGTACATTAAATATTTTTCGGAAAATCTAATTGAAATAGACATTATTATCGATACAGAGTCCGAATCTATAGTTTTTAGAATTTTTGTCTGTCTGTCTGTCTGTCTGTTTCCGCATCACGAGAAAACCACTGGACAGTATTTGATGAAATTTTGTATGATGATAGCTGGTTATCCGGGTCAACATATAGGATACTTTTTACCGCGGGAAAATATCTCATTTCTGAGAAAAATTACAAAATCTGCATTGTAAGAGTAAACTAATATGTAAAACCTAAGAATTTGGTTTTCGGTCATCTGAACGCGGGCGGAGCCGCGGGCAATGCTAGTATAGTAGTAATGCGAAACTAACAGTTGCGCAATCACACCAGAACGGCTGAGCGGATTTGGATGAAATTTGGCACAAAGGTAGACTATAGTCTGGAATAGGACATAGGTTACTTTTTATCCGGTTCCCGTGGGATAACCTGTTTTTGTTTTTTACAGAGCAAGCTATCGACTATCTATTCCATACTAACCGTTAAAACGTACCTAGGGACGAACCCGAGAGAAGCGAGGGTGAATCGCTAGTGCGTGATATAAAATGTAAAATAAATGTAGATTAGCACCTTTATGCACAAATATTTAATGTTTTGTACAAATATGTATGTAATATATTACAACTTATATATAGACACATATTATTCTCGAATTACGCTACGCGTAGGCATATCACGTACATACTCTTAGCGGGGTACAAAAAGAGAAGTATTGAAAGTCTCTATTGTGTACATATCCGGTGTACTTTGTATCGATGTGATTTTTGGAATCATGTTTCCAACTATAACATTGAAATTTTCATATGATACCTTCGAGCCAATCGGGCACTAGCTGTAGATTTGACTTGCATGAGATAGGTACCAGTCGTCAGACGAATAATTGCGAAACCCATGATAATATTTTTTCCTGAAAATAGGACATTATTCTAAACACGGTTAAATCCGATAATAGAGTTCGACTATCTCGTGGCTATTTTTTATTACTTGTTGTTTTACTTTTAAATTTGTAGTATTACATAATATTTTATTACGATAAAACAAAGAAAAAGTCACTTTTTTTGTATTAAGACCCCACATACTTTTTTCTCACTTTGCTTTTTATATGTACCTACCTACTTTTAAGTAAATTCCTTTCCGTCATAACAAATATGTTGTAAAAATTCGATGGATGGACAACTTACGCTTATAATAGCTTTCCGATAGGATCCTTTGAGTAAGAAACAATAAAAAGATGCCCTGTAATAGGTATGCCCTCTTTACAAACTCTGAAATTCACCTAGGCTTCGTTACCGATTTAAATTATTTTTTTAATATAAAAAACTACTTTTTGTGACTTAAATATAAAATCTATAAGTACATATAATAAAATTGTAGCTAAGCCGCATCTGTAGGTACATTAAAAATGTTTTGGAAAATCTTATTGAAATAAACATTATTACTGATACAGAGGCCTAATCTATAAATTTTAGATTTTTTGTCTGTCTGTCTGTCTGTTACCGCATCACAGAAAAACCACTGGAAGGATTTTGATGAAATTTGATATGGTGATAGGTGGTTATCTGGGTCAATATATAGGATACTTTTTACCGCGGGAAAATATCTCATTTCTGAGAAAAATTATATAAACTGCAATGTAAGAGTATACTAATATGTAAAACCTAAGAATTTGGTTTTTGATCATCTGAACCCGGGCGGGGCCGCGGGCATTGCTAGTATTATATAAAACTGTTACACATTAGGACTGATTTTATTACTGATCTGAACACTCAGATTATATTTTGAATATTCTAGCATAATTTATTAAATTAGATCAATTCAAATATCAATAATGTTAATAGATTAAAATATTTACTTTATAGTTAAGTGCTTAGATTCCATCACGTCTATTTTTAGTTTGTAGCTTCTAATAAATTTAATTTTTGATGCTTAGTTATTGAAAAATTTCCAACTTAGGTAATAATAATTTAATTAGTAAACAAACAGGACAAAATAATACAAAATTACTTTTTAATATTTTTGGTTTGATTTGATTTTAGATAAAAAAACCTCTTCACTTCACTTCATATTCCAATCTTAGGGATGATATTTCTCTTTATTTCTATAAAGGCAAATACAATTTAAAGGTCAATTACTCATGTGGCAATACTACAAAAATGCCTATTACAAATGAAAACAAGTAATTTAATACAGTGTTATAACAATTTTATGTGCTATTTTTACAGCCATAATAGTATAGTAGATACTTATATACTCAAAACTTAATTAACTTGGGCGTTTTATCCGTTTATTCAACTGTCGCCTGCGGTTTTAATTTTCTATATTCAATTAAGTGGCGCTTTGGCCGGCGATGCATCTTTCCATATTATCATTGTGTGTTTATAGTATTTTTATGTTCGATATTGACAAACAATAAAAAATAATACTTAGTGGATATTCTTTTTACTTTTATGTCTTTTCTTAATGACATGTTAGGGTGAGACATCATAAAACACAATAGTGGGTTTAATTCCATAAATTAAAAATTTATTACATAATATATGTAATTACATTTGATATGGGAAGAAACTAGCTCCTGAAAAATAAGGAAAAGTAAGGAATTAATTAATTAATTAATTTTCAGGAATTAAGGCTTCATGTATTTTTTGTGACAATGAAACACCATGTAATAGACCACCTGTAGTGGGCAAGGAACCTACCCCCCCCTCTAGTTTTCACGTAGTAATCTATACATATAATAAAATTCTAACTAAGCCGAATCTGTACATCAAATGTTTTTTGGAAAATCTTATTGAAATAGACATTACATACAGAGGCCGAGTCTATAGTTTTTAGAATTTTTGTCTGTCTGTCTGTCTGTCTGATACCGCATCACGGAAAAACAACTGGAGGGATTTTGATGAAATTTGGTATGATGGTAGCTGGTTATCCGGGTCAACTTAAAGGATACTTTTTACTAAAATAAAATATAATAAATAATAAAACTTAAAAATAAATATAAAATAAAAAATATCTCATCTCTGAGAAATCCATACTAAACATGAATATAATCTAAAATCATTTTTGCAAACAGAAAGTTAAAAAAAAACTTAATTTGGATCATATTTGGCTTGTATTTGGAGTTTTATAGTTAGAAAAAGCAAGAGATTTCCCTAAAGGATATGTAAGCTATTAACTACATATTATGTATATTATAACTCCTTTCCTATAAAATATTTTACTCGTAATATACTAAGTACGAGTATATGTAGTATAATAATAATATTTTATTATGTACTACCTAAATGTCTAGCTACTTGTACTTTAACGCTTAGTAATATATTTAGTCACGCACGTCATATGTTTTCTTTATTATTAGATCATCATCATAATATCCTTATATGAAATTGCAACCGTTTAAATTTTACATTGTACTTGTTGACAGGATGTTTATTTCTTAAAATATTTTTATTGTTTATACCGCTATCGATTCTGCTCGCTGGATGAAATAAAAGTATCTTAATATACCACATATCCAGAATATATGCAACCTTTATGCCGAATTTCAAACACATTTAATATAAATTTTATTTACTATAGGCAAATAGTTTTAATTAAAAACACTACCAACTTTTAAATTGATAGAGCATATCCAAAGACAATTAAACTCTCTGTTTCACCCGCTCTCATATAAAGCGCGGGTCATATTTAATAGTTGGGGACAAAATGTTAAAATACACACAGGCAACGTTGCAGGTATGCCGATAGACACCGCTTTTTCAGTAGTTAAAGCTAACGTGATCTACAATACATAATTCATAAAATAGGTATAATATAAATTTTGTGCATAAATAAGTTTTATTATGTAGGAATAATTACAGCATTTGGATGGCATTACTTTGTTATAGAAAAACATATTACATAATACATTACTGTAACATTAACATCGAGAATTATCTAAACATGATATTTTTTGTAAAAAAAATAACTACTCGATGAGTCATGTGACGGCGCGTAGGCGCTTCACATAAAATCTCTCTGTGGACGCAGCGACGCTGAATCTGCCGCCCGTTCAATTGAAGGCAATTGCTTTAATTGATTTCAATTGAAATGACCTCGCGCACCGGCTCCCACTTCTAGCTTGACACTTTTACATCTATCTTTTTTGGAGCTGACATAAAAGCAATGATATACGTCAGTGCCCCTAGATGAACCCAATAAAACGATGCCACTTGTTTATGTGACTCTATGTACTATGTACATATAATATACTGAAGAACATCTTACCAGAGTTACATAAGCTGGTCTCTCGCTCGATATTTAGATAATTTTGTCATTAGATGAAATGGGTGTATTTATGGCGTGCTTTATACAGCCAAACAATTTAACATTTTCTGCATAACTGTTCGCATGTTATTGTTATAACTTATATTTTATATCTACGGATATACCTAATGAAATTGAAATGCGCTCAAGGATGTACAGTTAAAATATTTTATTAAATATTTTAGAGATCGCAACAGATGCCGTTTATAAGTATTTATGGATATTCTATTTCTTTGTCTGATGCTGTGTAATCGCGTGTCTCCAAGTCGGGTACATAGAAATCATAGAAATACATCTAGAACTATCCGTGCTATGGGGAGCATGTATAATGCCTAAAGATCAAATTGTAACGGGCTGTAATTTGTAAGTAAAAAATATAACATATATTAATTATTTAATATATGTTAATCACATCTCGTCTAATTAAGTCCACTGTGTACTATCTAGAGCCTAGATAATATATACTTAAATGTCTGCCTTAACATGCCTTTATAATTATCTAACACAAAATTATTTTCTATATAATAATATTGGAACCAACATTTCGTAACTTACAACCAACAATAGACGAAACTCGGTGTCAAAGTATTCCATATTTGTTATCTATATACCTATGTAAATAGGCAAAGACAAAACAGATCATTACCGTTTTCTCCGCTGTTTGTCAAACGATTTTTTTTCTTTCGTATCTATTGACAAGCTTTCGTGCTATGAATGAGAAAATTTTGGAAACAGAAAAAAAATATTGGAAAAATGTAAATTCACATAATATGTATGATTTCCTCAAATAAATAGTGATCTTATGAATGAATTAAACCACTAGGCGAACACTAGTAGTTATAATTGTACAACGTAAAACAAAAAAAACGCACAATATAATTTTCTTAGCCAAATAATCTTATAAGTAGAATGTATATGAAAATTGATATGCCTTAGCTTTTTGTACAAAAGAAACAAAATAACAAGAGCTCTTTATAACTGGTCAGCTGTATTCCAAAATAAATCTACAAACAATGACAGTATAATTCCTAAAAAAGACGACATACATTTTGGCACGTGTTCTGTCCGGTCCACAATTGGCGTTAATTAGGAAATGGCGCGGGACGGCCGTAAAGCGCAAATGTCTTGAACTATGTGGGCAGATGAGTGGTAAGCTCATTCATGGAATCTGCCGTTTACTCGAATTAGACATAAAAAGTTGCATAATCAATAATGAAATATTTTAAGTACAATTTTATTTCCATGCTCAGTTTTTCTAAGGTCTATTATAATGTCACATGAGTTCACGATCCCAATAGCCATGCTAATAATTTATACGTAGTCTAATTATAATTTGTAGCATACCTACTATAATCAATCTTAATCTTATTTTATCAATATAGAGTGCTTGTGCGTAAACAAACAAAAATCTTTATATTTCATCAATACATGAAATAAAATAATAACAAAGCGAAATCTGTGCCTGAAATATATTTTTAAACACAATTACTGTTACGTATTGCGTACAGAATACAGATCCCAAACAATAGTAGGTAAAAGAAATGTTTGTTTCTTTGTATGTGTATTTATTCGGGTGCGTTTTATAAAAAAATACTGAACGAATTTTAACTAAATATTGTGTAGTGATAATTTATTACTCGACGGGACAACATTTAGGATATGTAGGTACCTTTTACAACAGGAAAATCTTTCATTCCCACGGAAAAATACAACAACTGGTCTGTCGAGTTGCTAGTACAAATAAATCAATTTCATTTAATTTACAGTGAGAAGCACTATATAATTTATATGTATATAAATACTTTTCATACATCTTATAACGCTTTTCATCAATAGCAACGTAACTAATATAAGTAGATATATTAAGAAAAAAAATCTGCAATTATTAAAATATTTATTAATTAAATATTAATTTATTATTATATTCTAGTATACAACAATTACATCATAACAATAAAAATACCTACAGTAAAGTTTATTGTAAATCTAATCAATACGCCGAAAAATGTTGCTCTTGATTGCTCACTTTTTTTGTTTCTTACTTTTAGAACTCCAGAATTTCATGAAATCTTTACTAGAGCTTTCATTTTCTGTTTCAATAATAGTGGAGAGATCATGTTTATCACGACTATCCATGCGCCCGGAGTTAGAGGCTTCTATAATGTCTTCCTGGCCCACTGTCGTTATCAAGGTGGGCGTCTCATCAAATCTTAAACGCTTTGATGTATCCATTTTTTTTGGTTTTTCTGGATGGATTTCACAAATAACTGGTTTTTTATCGGAAACGAGACTAGCGTTAGAAGAACGTTCATAAATAGTGTTTTTTATTTCTTTTTCGTCATCTGGAGAAAGAGCGTTTCTTCTTTTATTTTTTATAGGATTTCGCTCTGATGTCCTAACTATTTGTGATATCGAGGATTTTTTTTCTTTTGTAATTTTGATTAAGTTTAATTCGTCTGTGTATTTATTGTCCTTAACCGTCCCTTGGCCTTCAGTTATTTTAAATTTTGCTAACGAATCTTTAGCGTATTGTTTTTTGGGTGGTTTGCTTTTATTTCCTTTATTTCTCTCAGACACTCTGTCTATGCTACCGCCAGTTTGTACACCTTCATCTTTAAAAACCAAACCATATTTACGTAATTCAAGTTCAGTAAAAGAAAATATTTTATTAGGTTGAGCTATGTTCGAGTCATATTTTGCGGTTATTACATCTAGTTGCTCTTTATTGCCCGTTTTAGTTTTACAAAGTAAAAATCCACAACATGCTTTGTAAATCTTTGTGAAAATATTACTTTTTCCAACTTTTTCTTTGTAATCTGGCAAAGAAATATCGTCAAAAAAGGCACTGGAATACACACATTTGTATGAATAATCGTCGATATCTGTTGGTGATCTCATGATCGTATCCAAAATTAATCTGTAATATATTGAAGATATTATTTCCGGATTATTTTAAAAGACAGTATTACATATAAGTAACGATATTTTACTAAGAATACAATGGCCATTTGAAAAAAATGGTCTTAAAATATTGCATATATTGAAAATATTCATTTATTTCTTTTCCGGTCGCATAAGTTTAAAACTGTCAAAGTATTCTTAATTAAAACTTTAAGTAGTTAAAACTTGAAATAACTTAAATGATAATTTTGAATACAAACATATACATATTTTATTTTAATAATAAATATTTTTATAATAAGTACCTGGACGACCGAGCTCTTTGACTTGTTTTTAAAAGATATAAAAATTACGTTTTTTTTTTCAGAAAAAACACTTATATAGATAAACTTAAAAATCAAAACCTTATCTAAATTCACATTTTGATCCAAAGCGTTAGAGTCGTTTCCGAGATACACGATATAAATTTATTTATAGACATAGGTATATAAATTGCTCATCTATACATATAATAAAATTCAAACTAAATCAAATCTGTACATTAAATATTTTTTGGAAAATCTTATTGAAATAGACATTATTATCGATACAGAGGCCGAATCTATACTTTTTAGAATTTTTGTCTGGCTGTCTGTTACCGCATCACGAGAAAACCACTGGACAGATTTTGATGAAATTTGGTATGATGATAGCTGGTTATCCGGGTCAACATATAGGATACTTTTTACCGCGGGAAAATGACTCATTTCTGAGAAAAATACAAAAACTAGCAATATAAGAGTAAAGTAATAAGTAAAACCTAAGAATTTGGCTTTTGGTCATCTGAACGCGGGCGGAGCCGCGGCCAATGCTAGATTAATATTATAAGATAATAGCATATTAATAACAACTAACTTATTTTCAGAAGTATCGGAGAACACAAAAAATGCTTCAGAGACTCTGGGGACGCATCGTTTTAACCAGTAATGTACGGTGTACAACATTGTAAAGAGTACCGCGAGAAACGTGAATGCCGCCAGATACACGTTGTGTTGGAGACCCTTCGCTACTCCACATAGGAGACGATCTTCGTCATATATATCTAAATGAGGTATCAAATATTATTGTATATTTACTTATATGATTAAATTATCCTTTTTTACATATCTCTTTTATTTGATTGGTATATAAATTATTGTAATTAAATTTTTAACCTTAACATTAGAAAACCTATCATAATGCGCACAATTAATTACTAATATGAAACAAATACATTTTGCAAATACTATTAATGTTTGTATGTAAAATACACTAGTATAAATAGGCATAAAGTTAGTGTATAAAAATCAATCAACTTGATACTGATTTATACACACTAACTTTATACCTATTTATACTATATATACTAATATAGCAGTACTTGGTTAATCAAAAAATATAAGGAAAATCTAAGACACAAGTTATTAATTACAAGGTTATTCGAAAAATACACTGTTTTATTTGGTAAAAGAGACAACTTTTGTGCATAGTGCGTTTACGAGTAATAAGAGTAGTTACGGATTTGATTCCTGCACAAGTGAAATCTTAATGTCGTTTGAAGAATGATGAAAGTCACATAGAAGTTACATCGACTTTTATGTGACATCCATCAATATCTACTGCATACACCGATTCTTGTCTGTATTGCATGGCAAAAATCGTGAATAATTCTGAGTCGAAAGTCATTAAAATTCATAAATAAAATTAAGTGATTGAAATTATAAAATTAGATTAAGTTATTAAAATTTATGTATAAAACATAATATGATAGTTTTACCGTAAGAGCCGCAATGTGGTACTCCGTCGCATGCATTCAAAGAGTCGATACATACTCGCGTTCCAGTTATTTGGCACTCGAGGTGCGCCGGCGGACATTCTGACGCATTTTCAAACAGCGTTATCGCTGGCGTCAATACTAACATCAAGCGGTTTAGCTGGGAAAAATATTTTTCGAAAAATAACAAATCTTTAAGATCCTATATGGGATGTAGCAGCTTCTCTAATTTGTTCTTATAAAAACATGATTTTCAGAACAGTAAAATACCATTTTCAAACTAAATAAGAAGTTATACAATTTTTATCGGGTTGGTTTATTTTTTCAAATATTACTTAATTTTTTTATGATATTTTATAAAATAACACATATTTTATTAAATATCAAACATTTAAGTAATCTTTGAAAAAATAAATCAACTCGATAAAAATTGTATCTTCATTATCATAATTATTAGTTCTAAAATATATTTTTTTTTACAAAAAAGAAAATTACAAATATACTTAATTATATATACAAAACATATGTACACTTAGTTATTACTGTACAAGTCATGTCCGCGTGGAATAGTGGCAAGAATGCTAGCCGCATTCCCCCGTTGAATGGCAATGCCGATTCTTTGGGCGAAAAATGCGCCAGCCCTCCTGTCACCAGTAGAGGTGATAAGACGGGGTGTTATGTCTTTTAAGAAGAGCTTAGCACTTAGCAATAAAATAAAATAAAAAAAAATAAAAATACTTTTATTGACTTAAAAGATTACATTTCAAGATAGTCGCAAGGGCCCCTGTACTAGGTGGAGACCCGTATTACTGGGTGCCCCGCTCATCCACCAAGACTAGAAAGTCAACAAACAGAGTGAAAACAAAATAAAAATTTACAATTAATTACATATATAAGTTTGCGTTTGTGTGTGTGTGTGTGTGCATGTGTGTGTGCATGTGTGTGTGTGTGTGCATGTGCGTGTGTGCATGTGTATGCGTGTGTGTGTATGTGTGCACGAGTTACCTATGTGTACATAAAAGTGCGTAAATATGGGATGTTCGAACATGTTTTATACGATGTTTTGATTGATCATCAATTTTTCAGTCTCATCATAGTTATATGTCAGTAGAGTTTTAGTTAGTACACGTTTTAATTCGGTTTTTTAAAGACTGTAAATGTCAAGTCTGCTGTTATGCTTATTGTAAAGATATGCCGATTGACAGTTAAATTGCATTTTCTTAAATTTGGTTTTACTGGTAGGGATAGGACAAACGGACTTACCCCTACGTTTTTGGATCAGACTAGGAATAAACGGTAAGTGACGGTGAACTTTAAGTACGCAATTTAATATGTAGATTTGGCGAGTGGATAACAATTTGTAGTAATTATGTAAGTCGAAAGTTGGAAAAATATAAGGTTTGAAAAACATCACTTTTAACAGAGATCTTTGCGCCCTTTCTAAAGTTATTAAATGCGTTTTGGCTGCACCGCCCCAGACAGTAATGCAGTAGCTTAGTATAGATTGCGCTAAAGCTTTATAGGTGGTAATAAGAGTGGATTCATTCGCTACATGTCTAAGTTTTTTAAATATCCAAATAAGTTTCCTCATCTTTTCAACTATGCTCTCTATATGATGTCGCCAGGTAAGGTGCTGGTCAATAATAATTCCAAGATATTTTATCTTTTCGGTTTTAGAGATTTTGTCGCAAAGGCAACTACTTGAGTCCGGATAATTACATGTATGTACTTTTAAACTGAAATGGTGGTCAGGTTGTGTAGTATTACGAATTGAAAATGTTACATAATTGGTTTTGTTTATATTTAGCGTCAATAGATTCGATCTTAACCAGCAAGAAACCTGACGCATCCCAGATAACAATTTAAAGCAATTTTAGTTATGTATTTACACTAGCGACTCACCCTCGCTTCGCTCGGGTTCGTCCCTAGCTTGATTCCCCATATAAATTTTCACCCCCATTTTCACTCCCTTAAGGGATAATTTCCGGGATAAAAAGTATTCTATGTCCTTCCCAGGGTCTCAAACTATCTTCTTACCAAATTTTATCTAAATCGGTTTAGTAGGTCCAGAGATTACCCCCTATAACGTCATAAACTCACAATCTCACAAACTTTACCTCTTTATAATATTAGTATAGATTAATTAATTTTCTAAATAATAAATATTGAATTATAAAACAAGTAATTACCGTAAAATTGTTGACGGCAATGACAATACGTGAAGCATTAAAAAGAAACATTTGGCGAGCTTCAGCTTCTCGAAAGTCACAGATATTGAAAAGCACTGGACCTACATAATTTCGTAGATAGCGTAGCGCTACGCGACCTTGCATCTACAATGAAACTTATTAAAAATGGAATGAATATGTACCTAATACCTATTGGCCAAATTAAAATTAAGCTTAAATTATGTTTTCTTATTTAATCCTTTATTGCACCAAAAATATAAACAAAGTAAAATAGTATATATATATATATATATATATATATATATATATATATATATATATATATATAACTCTATATCGAGACAAATTATTATTTCAGTTTATACGGGGTCTTATCACTTAAAGTGATCTCAAAACTTGTGAATTTAATCAAATTGTAATCATAAGTGTAATGAAAAAACCTCGTCATCCTGCAACTCTACCAGACGAGCTAGATCCTGCATCTCAGAGAATCCATTAAAAGACTCGTCTTCTGTGACCATGTTCTTCTTTGTCGTTATATTCCGTGGCCGAGATTTTTCTATTTGCACCGCTTGGATATTGCGTTTTTTTCGTAATTTACTTTCGGAAAATTATAATTCTATTTTATTTCACATTCTCGATTTGAATAGAAATGATTAAAAAAAATAAAGTTAAATTACGTTCGGAATACAATCAATTTCAAACAAAAAGTTTTAAGCTACTAATTTTTATATGATGTATCTAAGTACATATCTGGGTATATAAAATAATATTTTTAAAAGTACAATTAAGTCGTTTAATGTACATTAAATTCTTCAAATATATATAAAAAAAATTATAATTAAATATTTTATTTATTTATTAAATCTACATACATAACAATTATTATTTTTAATGAATCGTCATTAAAGTAATTAAAATATCTTACCTTGGTCTTAATCTTAATCTCATTGATTTATTTAAATCTGTTTTATTATGAAAATCTTTCGAGATCAGATCAGTTTTGTTTAAAATAATAGCCATTACCGGCGCTGATTGAACTACATTTTCCCAAGATTCATGATTTACTAAAGTTCCATTTTGTAGTCTGCAATATAATGCAAATCAAATAAATAACTTAAAAAAGAAATCTATTTATTATTATTACACTATTAAATTAATACTTTTCATCCCGTGTATCATATTGTTTAAACTTACTTCGGCGTGTTTCTCATAGTAGTTGCTAATATGTTTGTGACACCATCTGTAAGTTTTTTCTCATCTCACTCGTTAGTTGTAGGTATATAAAAGGAAGATAAAGTATGTTATATACGTATATTGTACATATGAACCTTTTTAAATGTAATCAATTAAAACAGGTTTTTTGTTTTAATATAAAATAATATATTGTATTAGCTTGCATAGATTAAGAAAAAAAATTTTGTCTTTAAAAGTCTCTAGGGAGTTCCGAAGAAGAAACTTATAGTACAAAATTCAATATTGTACGTATAACTCCAAAGGTGGAGCCGCGAACAATGCTCGTACTACAACAGAAATAATGTCATATTTTTTTAGTTAAATGTTAGCCCATAATTTTGTCATTAAATAATAAATAAATAAATATTTTTGGGACATTAACACACAGCACCATCTAGTTCCATAATAAACTGCGAGGCTTGTGTTATGGATACCAGATAGTTGATACACTACACATGGTATATAACTTTAAATACATACATATTATAAATATAAATACTCATGACTGGAGTACAAACATTTGTGTTCATCACACAAATGAATGCCCCCAGCGGGACTCGAATCCGCGACCGCTGGCACAGAAAGTAGGATCACTTACAAACTGAGCCAAACGTGTCGTCATTTCAATTAAACCACCGTGAAATCAAATCATAATCTAAAATAATAATTAATCAATAGAAGAAAAATACACCTACCTGTAGTACTATCATAGTCGTGAGTATTTAATTGTGTTGAATTAATTTTAACAAGTAATAATGTAGTGATATTATTATTAGATATAATTGCTTCCTTCTTTCTAAGCGCTTCATGCTCTTGAGAAGAGGTCGTGCTCTTGTATTTTTGTAATATTACGGGGCTATAAAATTGTTCCCTTGAAAATATTGTTGTTTGCAAAAATAAATACCAGAGGCCTGCCTAAGCTAAATTCTATATTTATTACTATTTACTTATGAGAAATAAGTATAAGAATTTGTACATTCTCGATAGATAGCCTGCCAGATTTTTGCAGACTCTACAATATTGTATGCGTGGTTTAACTAAAAATTAGGATTAATAAACAAAATAATATGACGTTGATTCTAATGCAATTAATTTTAATTTTGTTTTTCTCTCTTATATATGGCGAAAAGGGAAACTAGACCGATCCAAATATCAACCTCCTACTGCTGCACACTGCTGCGTAAATAACGAGTATTATGATATATACGATGACGTGATTGCAGCTTCTACGATCATCAACACGACTGCTGTGATGGTGATTATGGGAGAACACGTCAGTGGCAAGCATAACAACAAAGTGGAACTCAAAGAAAAAATAGTATGATCAAATAGCATATTATGGAGCTATTAATAGTTTAGAAGACAAGAGAAGACTTTATAACCTTAGAAATAGGCAATCTTGACTTTGAAAGGAAGAACCACTTAGAAGAGGCACTGGGAGCTTTCTCATCAACTAGTTTCTCTCAAATAATATGGCGGAAATCACTAGTTTGTTGGGGTGATTAGCAGCTTAAACTCAAGCTTACTAGATATTTACTCACGATTGTGCACTGGTCATGGCATACTTTCCTTATCATGAAGAAGTGCAGTCTCTATAAGAAAGTATCTCGAAGACCCTAAATGAAACTACTGGCACTCACTTCACTGTTCTTAGTTGTTATCGGAATTGGGAAACTGTAGTTCCAGATAGATACGCCATGAATCGAGTATCAAACTCCGTCGATACCATATAGATAAGGGTCAAATGCTGTTCAAATTTCTAGAATTGGGAGCTAATTTATGGAACATAGCAGATGATCAAGAATTGAGGCACAACATCTGTGGTGCTTACGCTAGGCCATGGACAAAAACTTTGTTATATCTTTGATTAGTAATATTAATGAATACCTTAATAGAGCTGTCCTTAATGATTTTGTTGTAAACGCTGCTTTACTAAAAAAGCGGTCTTTTATCTTATTTTCAGCTGTTGTATAGTGATTATTGTCAAATAATGAAAGATTTTGGATTAAATATACTGAAATTTATAAATAAAATATGTTATAACAACCCATTTTACATATGTATCTATATCTTTACGTAAATAATGTGTTTGCAATGTTTCTAGGCTTACTCTTGAAAGGATTATTAAATATATTATATTATTGAATATAAATATTCTCACTCTCCAGTATACGGCTGATATGAAACACTGACTGGCTGGCTGACTGAACATAAAAATGGACATCGGTTGTCTTATCACACGACGATCATCCACTTATTTGACAGTAGAAAAAAATAACAAACTAAAAAATCTATAATAGACTTTCGAATGTACATATATTATTTGTAGGTAATAATAATGTCCTCCCGACCAATTTCGGCCAAGGCGCCAATCTAATTGAGACTAGCCATCTACGCAGGAGATATTATAGTGCACAAGTAAGCGCGCAGACACAAGTGCACTATTCCTGTTACTCTCTTACTCCTGTGGAACGACTACTCGACACGACCAGTGAGAGTTAAGGCGCAGGACCAACAGCTTTACGTGCTCTCCGAGGTACGGGGATGAAACACCGCCAACTTCCCAACTCCGGGCTGTTACTGAGGTTTAGTAATAAAAAGACTCAATAACTAATTTTTTCCCAACCCGGGACTCGAACCCAGAACCTCCGGATGTGCAGCCATACATGCTTCCCCACCGAGGCAGTGTAAGTAATACCTACCTATATTCTAATAAACATCATCTCATTTTTAATTAGACATATGTATTACGATCAGCTCAAATTTTGACGTTATCGATAGATGTACAAACATAAATCTATACATATAATAAAATTCTAACTGAGTCAAATCTGTACATTAAATATTTCTTGGAAAATCTTATTGAAATAGACATTATTATCGATACAGCGGCCGAATCTGCAGTTTTTAGAGTTTTTGTCTGTCTGTCTGTCTGTCTGTTACCACATCACAGAAAAACTACTGGACGGATTTTGATGAAATTTGGTATAGTCATAGCTGATTATCCGGGTCAACATAAAGAATACTTTTTACCGCAGAAAAATATCTCATTTCTGAGAATAAATACAAAAACTGTAATATGACTTTAATATGACAATAAATAATATGTAAAACCTAAGAATTTGGTTTTTAGTCATCTGAAGGCGGGCGGAGACGCGGCCAATGCTAGTATACAGATAAAAATGTATATTATATTAAGTACCTACACATACCACTTAAGTTATGTTGCATATCAGAAATATTACTTAAAATATTTCTTAACGTGAGATTTTCTACTCGGGTACTTGCTGAAGTTACATTTAAAGTTTTAATAAGATCGTCAACATCTTTCCAAGGTAATGTCATATATAACGGATCAAGCGTAGGTATTATGGTCGTTTGAATATAATTAGAAGTCAAATATGCCGCCGGCCAAGGCGTAAACAATCTAAAATAATAATTTTATTTATTAACCGACTTCCATACAGAGGAGGTTATACACTTGTTAAGTACTTATTTTCCATAAACTTTAAAATGTCTGATAAATGCAACTCTTCTTATAATTAGCGTCCCTCCCTTATTTTGCTCAGACTCTATTTAGCTACACCACTTATAGTAGGAGATCCCGATCTATGTGGTGGACTCTTATTCCAGGCCAAATATATTTTTTAAACAATAAAATATATTAACACACCAGGTGGATTTTTATCAAAAATTTGCTCCAGGCTCTTTTTTTTTTAAGTAGGTATGTACATTAACTCTTTTCCTGTGATAACTTAGTATAGATCAGAAGTAAAAGACTTGTAGAAAATGTCATCATACGCTTGGTGGCCTTTTTCAAATTCATATTACCTGACCTCCAGGTATAAACAGGTAAATTGAAATAGTTAATTGCTTGTATCGGATCGTATTTTCTGGGACTAACCAAGTATCTAAATGTAGACAACTTTATTACAAATTTAATGATATAAGGTTATTTTACCAAAACATCTCCAGACTAGAGGTTTTTTTTATTAAAATATCCTGAAACGAATTTTTGGTGACAATCCCCCTGGGTCGTGTTTGTTATAGCTTTACGGTTTAAAAAATATATTTCGCTTGAAAAAAGAGTAAGGGATCCACCACGTAGATCGGGATCTTAGACTATTAATAACTTTAAAAAATATTTACATAAACTTGTTATAGTACATTTTTTAAAAGTTAAGTTGAGATAGAATGGTAAGTTTGTGTCAATAGTTATAAAAAATAAAATTTAATTATATTATAATATAATAGGTAGAATATTTACTGCAACGAAATTCCAATACCTACTTCTTCGAACTAACTGGAACATCCTTTTTAGCAAATGGGTACTTTTTTTTCTTTCTTAAAGTATACAACCTATTTGCGAACCAGTTTCTTTTCTTTGTAGTAATCCTGCGCTTAGTACTAAACATCATTGATCTAAAAATATGCAAATTACCACTATGTGAGTACAATTTCGTAATGAAAAACAAAAACAAATCTATCCCACGTACATCTTTCTGGGATAAAAAGTAACCTATGTGTTATTCCAGACTATAAACTATCTCCTTGCCAAAATTCATCCAGATCCGTTCAGCAGTTCTGGCGTGGAAGTGTAACAAACATCTATCCATTCTCATAAACTTTCACATTTATAATGTTTGTTTGGATTTTACACGCACCTTGAATCCATAGTAAAATCATTGATGTTGTAGTCCAGTTCGTAGCGTGGCTTCTCACCGTATCCCTTCTGCTGCCGTATTGAAAATTGTACCAAAGGCATTATAGTTGTCTCATATTGACTTCCGTTTCTAAGCATACATATATTGTGTTGGTTGATGGTTGAGATATATTATTAAAAAAAAATATAAAATTATTTTACTGTACAGAAAAATGTGATAATTTTCGTAGATTTTTTAAATTTAATAGCAAAGAAAAAAGAGAACCGTTGACAAACTTTTTTAAGATTTTCGAGATTATTACTTAAAATAAAAAGGTGATTTACTCGCTTTATTCCTAAAAGTATTTATTGCCAATATCAAAAATGAAAAATCATAACGAAATCATACAACTCCATATAATTTTCAAGACTGTTGCTATCCGTCCAATAATAATAAAAAATATTAAAAATATAAAAAAATCGGACGAATAGACACACTGGTTTTTCAAAGTATTAATTACTCATTTTAATGCTTTTAACGTGAACTTTAATTCTAAAAACAAGAATCTTCTCGAATAAACTCTATTTTCTCTTATTGAATACTACACCGTATTCCTTATGAAATTTCCATTATACATTTTATAGACTTTATAGTTTCTTAAATTTTGTGATAACTAAGCAAATAAACGAATATGTATTTATAATACCGGATAAAGTTCATCGGATCATATTCTTACATTCTTTATACATAGATATGTTTAATACTTTCTTAGATTTACGCGAATACTTGACATTTTAAATAAAACTATCTTTTCTTTAATGAAAATTTAAAAAATTTGAAAGTTAAAAAATATTGTAATGTAATTGGTACAATTTTCATTTTGTTAATTGTGGGTAGGCTGTCTGTAACAACTATACCTTCGAGACATGTAACACCTCAGTCTCTCCCGTGACCATGGATGCTGTAAAGTATTCGAAACGTCGGGAACCAAAAATCAAAATAAATTCTCGAAAAAATCCGAAAAGATAGTTTTATTTAAAATAGATATGTTTGACAAAATCATTGCCTTACCTTTAAAGAAAATATCGAGAATTTGAAAAATAAATCATAATTACTTATTAATATCATAAGTCAGTTAAAATGAAATAGTTTAAAAATGAAATATTTATAAAGAAGCTGTAAATAAAACCTAGGCGTGACGTCGTATATAAAGTCAAACATCTCTTCAGAGTTGTAGGTATGACGAAGCGAGTCGTCTAATTGAAGATTTCCGGACACATTCACCAACGGGACTTCCATTCTGATGTAGTCTGGCCCTTTGTCCGTGGCTGGGAACGTTTTCATCAACATCTTTACTGTGCCTTCTGTGTATGTATGTGTCCTGAGACATTATTTTTATGTTTATCTTTTATTTTTAGAACAAACGCAGCGCCCTTCTTTCACCTTTATTTACATTTAGTATAGATTTCTCAGAGATGAGATATTTCCTTCAGTAAAAAGCATCCTATATCTAAACCCGGATAACCAGCTATCACCATACCAAATTTCATCAAAATTCCTCTAGCGGTTTTTCCGTGATGCGTTCATAGACAGACAGAACAAAATTTTAAAAACTATAGATTCGGCCTCTGTATCGATAATAATATCTATTTTAATAAGATTTTCCAAAAAGTATTTAATGTAGAGATTCGGCTTAGTTACAATTTTATTATATGTATAAATTATAATTACTAGTATACTCTGTAGTCCATAGTAACTTTTTACAATATACAAAATACGAGTATATCCCACGGGTTAATAAGTACCCTATTCAACCTTTTTAGTAAAGTTTGTAATTGTAAGTATCCCCATCTTACATTTATATGTTCGACCGTTCATAGCACGTACACAGAGCCAAGGTCAAAAAGTAGTAAGAAATTTTCAATCAATTACATTTATTTATTTTATTTCTCTTCACCAATTTTAGTTAACAGTATTTTGATAAGTCTATTAAAGAGTAAAATTGTAAGTTTTTTACCTTTCAGTTATAGTTGACTGAGTCGTCTTAATTGTATAAAACTTAGTGTAGTTCCTTCTAGTCTTTTTCATCATCATGGTGTCAGGCAAATGTCCCCAGTAACCACCAAATGTTTCACCTAATTCATAAACTATCAACTGATCTTGATTTTGTGAACAAGCCTCTTGTAAGGTACTCGCTGATAGTAAGTGAATGATAAGAATAATATTATATCCAGTTTCGGCTCTACATGAAAAATTCAAGTCAAATATAATGTAAAATATTTTAACCAAATTAAAAAAAAAATGTTTTACATTAATAAAATTATTTCAAAAACTCTTATGAATTCGTTTTTAAATTATTATTATTAGGGTACATCAAAATGGTGCTCTACCGGTATCGGTCTCAATGAAAATAATTTTATTTGAAATCTATACTTTAGAAAAACAGTAAAAAGATATTTATCGAAAAAGATGTTCAATAATTTTATTTTTCAGTTGTAGCAACTAGTCACATAGATACATAATATACTATATACTATTGAGTACGTACAATAAAAATTTAAAATATGTTTAGTATTCAGGAATGGTGAAGCTTTCTCTTTATTGAATTTAAGAATTCATTTTAACATACCTCTCACTTTTTGTGTTGTAATAATAATTGTTATATTGTAAAATATTGTTTAGTAGCAATTATCTTACACAAATAGGCAAATTAAGTAAAAATATAAGGCCTACATTAATTGACTTGAACATAGCGTCTATTTTTACTGATACTTAGACAAAGTTTCTTAACTATACATATAATAAAACTGTAGAGGTCGAATGTCTGTACATAGAAAAGAAATGCTAAAATCCGAGTCAGGGAGATGTAAGAAAACAAATAGAACAAATCCAGTTTTTTTTTCAATTTTTGGTTTCTGTCTGTTTATCTGTTTGTCTGTTTGTACGGGCTAATCTCCAAATCTATTGGACCGATTTAGATGAAATTTTGCATGGTGGTACCTTATATCCCCGGGCAACATCTTAGATACTTTTTACCCCGGAAAATTAAAGAGTTCCCTTGGGATAGTTAAAAAACTTTACAATAATATCCATACTAATATTATAAATGTGAAAGTGTGTTTGTTTGTTTGTTTGTTTGTTTGTCTTTCTTTCACGTCGAAGCGGCTGGGCGGATTGGCGTATTTTTTGTGTGGAGGTAGTCGGCGGGCTGGAGAGTGACATAGGCTACTATTTACCGTGGGAAATTATCTCTATCCGACGGAAAAAGACGTTATAATACAACCCAAAAAATACTTATGATCAGAATTACTTGAAACTTGGTATTATTGCTCTTTAATAAAATTAAATAAATACGTGTTTTAATATTTTTCGAAATTCATCCTATAAGGAGGTAAAATAGGGGATGAAAGTTTGTATGAAACAATATTTTTAGAGATATTTTGTAGTTTTAGCGCGACCAAAGCCGCGGGTCCTGCTAGTTATTAATATTATCATAGATGACTTCTCTTAGATCATCCGTTCTAGTTTATAATTCTGAAGAAAACTTTGCCTCCGTTTCTCTTTTCAGTCTTATAGAGCTCAACAGATTCGATGAAACGTGGCATTATACATTTTCTTATTTGGTATCATGTAATTCAATAAAAAGAAACTAACCTAACGCTCAAAGAACAACTATAAGGTATACTTAAACGAGATAATTGCATAATATATGAGCTTGCATCCATCACTTGCTTCCCTAAGAACACGGACGGTATTACACGACGCTTGCACTGTACCGACATGTCCTTCTGGTTAACAAATTTCCTCACTGCAATTGCCAAGTCTACCTTTTGATTTATTTGGAGTAGAGATATAAATAAAAATAATAATTTCAGTCTCATTATACGATTTGTAGACGTATTCATTCAATGAGGCCACGTCTTTGTATTAATATTATGAGGTCTTATGAAGATAAAATTTATACTATTTTATGAATGCATTTATCAATTCGTGTGCCAAAATTATATTTATTTTGTATTAAATTTGTTAACTACAAAGATTTGCTTCATATTATTTCTTAAGTTTTAAAAACTAACTCTATTTTTTTCCTCCATTATCATATTAAAAGTTTTGCATTTTTTATACACATATATACATATAACATTAAAAACCATTTAGGTTGGTGTTGGTGTTTATGTTTTTATCACATAGTAAGTACATAACTATCGGACACCAAAGATTTTTGATTTATTTAGACTTAATAAAAAATTAAACAGAGTTCTAAGTAAATAAAATTTAAAGTGCAACAGTGTTCAGAGTACATACTTATAATATTTACAAGCACATTGTAAATATTAAAAAACTGTACTTATAATATTTACAAGCTGTTATTTATATACGTATTCGCTTATAAAACTCCTTTTCAATTTCAATAGGTTCAACTGAATAAGCATTACAATAGATGCTAAAATAAAAAATACAGTCTTAATTAAACAAGAAATGCAAGGAATAGAGCAAAAAAATATTCTATAATTTAGCCGCAAGATCAAAAGCAATTGTGTAATTTCATTATTTATGTTGGTTCAGAAAAACTCGAACAGTAAATTAAGATGATATGACGTCAGCTTTGACGATAGGGGTCGCGTGACCCGCAGCGCGTGTTCGTTATACGGGGAGAGGCACTAAGTGCCAACATCATTACAATTGACTCTGTATACAGTTTAAAATTTATATTATTACTTGCACCAGCTATGTTTACATGGTAAAAAAACGTCTTAAGATACGCATTATCAGATATGTTTCGTTCAGAACTGCTAAACAAAAAAAAAGAAAATCGGTTGACAAACAGTGGAGAAAAAGGTACTGTACTTTTAGGAACTATGTTTGTGCGGGCAATAAAAGATATTGAAGTCCAATTATTATAATTAATATTTATTGTCTATTTAATACCACGGCTATCGAGCGACTGCCTCGTAGTACAAAAATCACACAACATATATTAGCCATAATAAACATTCAAATGAAATATGTATGCATATTATGCTTACATAAATTGCTTAACCCTACAAACTCTTAGATACCGTTTCTATTTTTTATTAATAACACTAAAGCTAAACACATATCTACACGCACACGCAAAACGCATTGGCAACAATAGCTGCTATACAAAAAAAATGCAAATCGGTTAACTAACAGGGGAGAAGAGGGTACTAAACTATTCTTTGCCTATTTATATTATGTAGAGATTAAGAGAATAAATAATCTTATCTCTTATGATTCTTAAATTATGATTAGTGTTGTCTTGCTCAAACTTCTAACCACTTTCATTTTTTCGTTTTGTTTGCTGCTTATCTTAATATAAAATATTTCAAGGAAACCGTTTATCTATACTAATATTATAAAGAGGTAAAGTTTGTGAATTTGTGACGTTGTAGGGGGTAAAGATACTTTGAAACTCTGTGAAGGATATAGGATACTTTTTATCCCGGAAATAATCCTTTAAAGGGGTGAAAATGAGGATGAAAATTTGGAATCAAGCAATATGGGAATAAAAGTCACAAGTATCTCTACTTAGTTTATGGTACAGGGCGTGTACTGACTTGGGACACGGTCTCTGGAGGAGCGGGATATGCTGCGTAGTCCGTACAAAAATTAATTAAGTTTTCGAATGGGTTTTGTTTACATTTGTTGGCCGTTCCCGAACGTTTTAACCAACGCCAATGATCGTTCTTTGGCGTTTGCCAAGATATTATAAAGGGAATCTGCCGCCAGCAACATCGAAGGAATTTGAAAATTCAAACGAACACGGTGTGGACGCTGTGTAAAAAGAAAAATGAACGAGCCTTCATTCTAATAGGGAAGAATTTTGCCTTTTCTAACGCCAGATGTCTCGATCACTATATTAATTTTATTTAAAATTTAATTAAAATGACAAATTGCACAGTGCCAGGATGCAAAGAAAATGGATATAATTTGTTCCCAAAAGAAAAAAAACTTAAGAACTTGTGGGCCAAAGCCTAAAGCAATTAGAAGACCAAAATTGGCGAAGTCACAATCTTTATATTTATGGCTTTATGGACTTCATTTTAAAGAAAGTTATTCTAAAACTTTTAAATCGTCTACAGGTGAATATTTTTTGTACCTTTTCACATATTGATTATAAAGTTTTATACAAACTTTAATCCCCAATTTTACCCTCTTATGGTATTGAATTTTGAAAAATGCTAAAACACATAAATTTATTTAATTGTATAGAAGAGGATTAATACCAAGTTTCAAGTAATTCTGAGCATAAATAATTCTTTGCCCATATAAATTTTATTACCCCCTTTCACTTCTTTAAGGGATGAATTTCTAAAAAAAATCAAATAAATGTATTTCTTATTTTTTATCTTAAAAGTACTTTCTGTGTATTTAACATTAAGAATAACAGAGTTTGATACAATTTTTAATCCCCTATTTTACCCACTTAAGGAATGAATTTCCAAAAAATCCTTTCTTATCGGATGCCTAAATCATATAAAGAATACGTCCTCAAAATTCCACGTTTCTACGACCACTGATTTAGACTGTGTGTTGATTCATAAGTCAGTCAGGACCACCACAGGATGTACCTACCTCTCTTTCTCAATTCTTCCTTCAGCTGATCTAATTTCCAGGTATAATACATTGCATAGGTAAGATGCGAACACAATAAAAGCAAAAAACCAGGTATAATATAAAAATATAGGTAAAATAATAGAGATATCACAATAAATTGCTAACCTCAGAGTGAAAGTAAAGCAAAGAATATATAATCACTACGTTATTGTAAATAGGCCATACGTGGCCACTCCTTTCGAGAAATCTTCCCCATTTTGCCGCACCTAAAATCGTGCCTCCCTAAGCCCGGACCTCGTGGGCCTAGGCGTAAATCCAACATTGATACTTAGTTACTAGTTCTCTATCTTTAATAATTATAGCTTTCATACAAGATATTTACTCAATCTGAAGCTTTCATTAATATTTTACATCTGTGTTATTAACATATTTAGATGAATATTGAATCCCATCAAAAACATACTGTATAATAAAAGTTGTTGAACGGATCCAGGCAAGTAACTTTCAAATACAGCTGATAAGTCTGCTGTCTCCTGTCAGTTGTCAGATATCAAATTCAATGTCAGTTAACAATTTAACATCAAAAATAAGAAAGAATTGTGGTGTAACATTTTATGGATTTATTGGGATGTTTATGAAATAAACTTTACTTTTAAGGATGACATTAACAGAATATGTGGCCTCTCTGTCAGCAAATCCATATTTTGGTGCTGGTTTCGGATTATTCGGTGTCGGAGCTGGAGCCGCTATATTACGAAAGGGATTCCAGACTTCTGTATTATTATTTCGGAGACATTGTATGATTACCCTCGAAGTACCTTGCAGGGATAAATCATATCAATGGCTTTTGCAGTGGATTACACAAAAGGGAGCAAAACAAACACAACATCTAAGTGTTGAGACCTCATTTCTTCAAAAAGATACAGGCCAAATTAAAACGAAATATGATTTTATCCCTAGTGTTGGTCAGCATTTTTTCAGGTTAGACATCTTTCAATTCTAAAGAAATAAATCTTTCTGTGTTGATTTATAAATTACAATAGATTATTAGATTAATTGACAAAAACTGTGACATTAAGTCTTACTTAACTTTACAGGTATGCAGGAGCCTGGATTAAAGTGGATCGAGTTAGAGAACAGCATACACTTGATCTTCATATGGGTGTTCCATGGGAAACTGTCACTTTGACTTCTTTTGGAAGGAATAGACAGCTCTTTTATAACATACTTGAAGAAGGTAAAATAACATTATACATTCTTTGGACATGTTTTTATAATACATTCTTATGGCATAAGCTTTATTAAAAATATTTTAGTTCTGCCATAGATGACATAATACTACTGATACAGAATATACACCATCCCATACAAAGAAATTGGACAGCAAATAAATACATAATACATGTTGTTAACGCCTCCATGGTTAGTTTCCGGGAAATCCATAAACTGTCAAACTGTTTTGTTTTGTAAATATGTGTAACCATTTCCTAATTGCTGATTTTCTAATAATTAGTAAAAGTATTTAAATTTCATGTAAGAGTGGATTATTTCATTCTGTTCACTTAGAGATTTTATAAAAAACCATAATTTTGGGATCCCTTTTGCTAATTTTACACAAACTTTAATAAGTAACATATCAATACATATAATGTTATTTGTTGGTATTTATTTGAACTAATTTTACTTTGTTTCTGATGAGACCTCATGGTCTGTGTTTTTGAGAATACAAAACAGAATAATTTAACAAATTACCTAACAAAGTATAAGAAGAATTTCTTATCTATACTAATATTATATAAAGAGGTAAAGTTTGTGAGTTTGTAACATTGTAGGGGGTAATCTTCTGGATCTACTGAACCGATTTAGATGAAATTTGGTAAGAAGATAGTTTGAGATCCTGGGAAGGACATAGGATACCTTTTATTCCAGAAATCATCCCTTAAATGGGGATGAAAGTTTGTATGGAGAATCAAGCTAGGGACGAACCCGAGCAAAGCAAGGGTGAGTCTCTAGTATTATCATACAGTTGTATGATAATAAAATTGAAATTAGATTTTCTTAATAATAAAAGATTGTATGTATTTGAAATATCTAATATTACAGCAAGAACAATGGCTTTAAAGCAGCACGAAGGTATGACTGTTATGTACACAGCAATGGGATCTGAATGGCGACCATTTGGTCATCCTCGCCGAAGAAGACCTTTAAAAAGTGTGGTTTTGCGTGCTGGTCTCACAGACAAAATTGTAAAAGATTGTTTAGACTTCATTGATAACCCTAATTGGTATACTGATAGAGGAATTCCTTATAGACGAGGTGAGTAAGGTAATCTCTAAGTTTTAATGTTTAAAAATGAAGCAGATTCTACCCAGACTAAACTAATGGATCTAAAAACCTGATAAATCTTCCTTGTAATCACCAAGAGAGGACAATCATTAGAGAGTTTTCGATAATATTTTCCTAATAGTAATAGGATAAAAATTTGTGGGTAAAATTTTATGAGGAATAATATTAATTTAAAAAAGCCTCTGTTAACCCAGGGAATATTGCTAGAAACTAAATAATGTCCACATTCCTTTGTGTTAAGATCATATAAAATAACTTAAATAAGCACATTGTTCATTTTGAGTGTTTTATTTACTTTCAGGATATTTACTATATGGGCCTCCAGGTTGCGGTAAATCTTCATTTATAATGGCTTTGGCAGGAGAATTGGAATATAATATTTGTGTGTTGAATTTGTCTGAAAGAGGCCTTACTGATGATAGGTTAAATCATCTTCTGAGGTAGAGATACATTTTATTTATGAATATATCTAATATAATATATCTGATATTTTTCCCTATAATTGTTTCATTTTAATAAGACATAATAGGGCATCGAATGTTAATAATAATAATCTTTATCTAATGGGGTGCAGCCCCTGATGAAGTGTATTATTTTATTCATATATTAGCGACTCACCCTCGCTCCGCTCGGGTTCGTCCCTACTTTCATTTTAGCGTTTAGTTTGAAAAAAAAAAGAATAATCTGTACTAATAGTACAGTATTAGTAGTAGTAGAGATGAGATATTTTCCCGGAATAAAAAGTATCCTGTATGTTGATCCCAAGAACCAGCTATCATCATACTAAATTTCATCAAAATCCCTGCAGTGGTTTTTCCGTGATGCGGTCACATACACACAGACAGACAAAAAATTTAAAAACTATAGATTCGTCCTCTGTATCGGTAATAAAGTCTATTTCTATAAGACTTTCCAAAAAATATGTAATGTACAGATTCGGCTTAGTTACAATTTTATTTTTTGTATAGATTATATATAAAAACTAAAAAGTGTATTATTTTTTATCGTCCGTCCGTCCGTTTGTAATGTCAAAATAACAGCTTTTTACTACATTTTAATATGAAAGTATGTACAGTACTTATAAGAAAAAAACAATTATTCAAATTTTTGTCTGGTTGATTCGGTTAATCTCTGAAACGGCTGGACCGATTTTGACGGTACTTTCACTGGCATATAGCTGGTGTTATAAGAAGTATTTAGGTTACTTTTATCAATCCAATATAGGGTAATGCACAAAAAATTAAAACCCATGAAATTGTGAACAAAATCGTAAGTTATTTAAAGAAATGAAGGCGACAGAAGTTATAAAGGGCTTCCTTGTTCTAGTACCTTGCATGTGTGATTTCAGATATTTATTGCATGCAGATATATATTTAGATTTCTTTTTTTTTGTGTAATGGCTATTGAGGAGTTTTAGTGTTATCGGTAATAAAAAATGATTATGATAGTAATCAACTAGGTATAAGGTATCAAAGAAATAAATCGATCACATTTCTTTAATGACCTATGTACAAGATAAAAATATTGTATTAAAATTTAATTATAGTACCTACTATTCCTTTTCATATAATGATCTGTGAATCTTCATAAAATTTAACCTTTCTTTACAGTGTAGCCCCCCAGCAATCTATAATTCTTCTAGAAGATATCGATGCCGCGTTCGTCTCACGCGATGACACGACGCAACAGAAAGCAGCATTTGAAGGGCTTAACCGAGTTACCTTTAGTGGACTCTTGAATTGCCTAGATGGCGTCGCCTCCACTGAAGCAAGAATCGTTTTCATGACCACTAATTATCTAGAAAGGTTTGTTATTATTACAAGCTTTTATTTAACTTGCAATGTATGTTTGTCCGGGTGGAACTCAATTTTGAAGCAGAAATCTTCAACCGATTGAGCTGCAATTTTTTATACACGTTTAGTTTGCATGACAATGCATGGCTAGCTGTGTGACGTTATTCTAAATCCAACGTGGCGGAGCACCCAAGATGGCTGACTAGTTATTTTTAACTCACTCCTACAATATGAGTATCAAATGAAAGGGCTTGCTGACTCAAAAAATAAAGTGACTTCACTTTAAATCTAATATGATGGACTCCTGAAGATGGCGGACAAGCATTTTTTATGCACCCTATGATATTATGGATATCAAATGAAAGTGTTTTCTGAGAAGAATACGAATAAAACTAAAATATATAAAATAAATTAATCGTAAAAAAATATTATTAAAAACAAGTTTTTATTTAAGTGCACTAAAAAGAAAAAAAATAAACTTTAAATTAAAACAAACCCAAATTAATATGAAAATTAATATAAAAGCCTATCGCGAGATTTACCTGTGTTATAGATAAACAAGAATATAACATTTAAAATATATGGTTATGACGTTAACAACCTAAAAGACCATTCTATATATTTTTTTCTTAAATGTAATTTTATTTTATTAACTAGTGACTACTCTTCCTTCGCTCTGGTGCTTCTCTAGATACATTTTAACAGATAAAAATAATTATTGCAGAAATACTCTTTGAAATATGTAGGTACATTTGTCGGTACGAGACATGCGTCACCTACTGTAAGTTAATAATTATACAGTATACTATGCCTATCTTCGCAGAAGTGCAAATAATAAGTTGACAAAGTTTCATCGCAATCGGCTGGCAGCGGATGAAAGCAAACAAACAAACCAACATTGATTTTTATATATAAGATATTATAAAAAAGTAAAGTTTATAAGTTTGGAATAAGTTGTATTGGCTATTTTATAATCCGATAAATGTCTATACTGTTAAAAATTGTAATAACTTTAATACAAATCAGATAAACTGCTATCCCTGTTGAAAAACTCCAATAGAAGTCTATCAAAATCGACAAAAGCCACATAGAAACCAATAAATATTTATTGGTTTCTATGTGGCTTTTGTCGATTTTGATGGGATCCTATTGGAGTTTTTAAATAGGGATGCTATGCTCATTTTTTAAAACATACTTAAATCAAATATATTAAATTTCTTTAGGTTAGATCCAGCTTTGATTAGACCAGGTCGTGTAGACATGAAGGAATATGTTGGATACTGTGACCATGAGCAAGTAGAACTAATGTTTCTAAGATTCTACAAAGAAGCAGAACATGCAAAAATATTTGCGAAAAAGTAAGTTTTATAATTATAATAATGTTACTCGACTTCATTTGTTATTCAAAGACCTTATTATTATGTTGTATAAGTGATTTAAAATATTTAGTGGATTTAATTTAATTACATTTGGGTTTAAACCATTAGATTTATTTATATTCTTTATTTCTTATTGAAATCCGTTCAAATCAAATACATAGCAAAAATATTTAACAAACATCCAATTTGTTTGATATTTTTTTTAATTATCTCAAATATTTGGATTTATAAAATGATTGTGCAACAAGCTTTACATTTTCGCTTGAAAACTACCTTAGTCCTATCGCAATATTGTGTCCAAGAAAAGAGAGCTCGTTGGCATTGTCCATTTTTGTACGGTTAATGCACGCATGCATGTACTTATTGGCGGTAGTTAGACCTTCGAGTCTGTTTACAACAGTTTACTTACCTTCCTAAGGCGCTATATGATTTGAAAAATTACTTTCGAGCTACATTTTATTTATAAATAGTTAAATTTTATTATTGTTCAATAAGAATTCCTATAGTTTATATATAGGCCTAACACAAAATATTCCTTTAATGTTAATAAAGCCCTTTATCTAGAGGAATAGATTGTCAGTCGATACTGCGATCTATAATTTTATGAGCAACTAGCCATTGCCCGCAGCTCCGCCCGCGTTCAGATAACCAAAAAACAAATTCTTAGGTTTTACATATTAGTATACTCTTATAATGCAGTTTTTGTATTTTTTCTCAGAAATGGGATATTTTTCCACGGTAAAAAGTATCCTATATGTTAACCTGTATAGCCAGCTATCATCATACCGAATTTCATAAAAATCTGGCCAGTGGTTTTCTCGTGATGCGGTAACAGACAGACAGACAAAAATTCTAAAAACTATAGATTCGGACTCTGTATCGATAATAGTGTCTATGTCAATTAGATTTTCCAAAAAATATTTAATGTACAGATTCGACTTAGTTACAATTTTATTAATGTTTTATATAAGTAGACTAAATAGAGAATTTATAAATAAATTTTTGTGTGTTTCAATTTGTGTTTATTTGTTTTTTTAGAGTAATGGAGAAGCAAAAGAATGTAAGCCCAGCGCAGGTACAAGGCTACTTCATGTTCCACAAACATTCTAGTCCAGATGAAGTTCTGTCAAATGTAGATGCATTATGGACGCTCGGTTAACATTTGTGATAAATTAAGATTAGTATTTAGAGGAAAGTAAAATAATTAATATTTATACTGCTTTTATTACAAACTTAATTACAAATTTGTGTTTTAATATTAAAATCATCAGTTTCTCGCGCCTTTTATGTATTTATTATTGTTTTATATTATGTACATTAGTTACTTACTAACAAAAGAGCTTTTTTCATAGGATACTAGCAGAACCCGCGGCTTCGCTCGCGCTAAAACTATAAAGAATTCTCTTAAAAGGTAGGTTTCATACAAACTTTCATGCCTTATTTTACCCTCATATGGGATGAATTTCGAAAAATGCTAAAACACGTATTTATTTAACTATGTTGAAGAATATTAATACCAAGTTCCAAGTAATTCTGATTACAAATATTTTTTGGGTTGCATCATAACGTGTTACCCCGTGGGAATGAGATAATCACCCACGGTAAAGAGTGGCCTATGTCACTCTCCAGCCCTCCCAACTATCTCCACACAAAAAATCACGTCAATCCTTCATTCTGTTTCCACGTGAAAGAAGGACAAACAAATAAACACACTTTCACATTTATAATATTAGTATGGATAGCATGTGTTTTATAATAATGTTTGAACTGATTATTAAAAACAAATGTAGTATTTATTTATCATATAGGACAAAAAACTACATGTTGATCAGTAAATTACAATAGAAAAATATCAGAAATTATAAAACAAACTACATATTTAAGACCAAAATGGCATAACTCGACCAATGCCTATGTCCAACGAACTATTGACTTATTATGATATCTATACATATATATGTAAAAAAGGATGGGTGTCAATAATTAAATAATATCACAGACCCCTATTATTTTTTTTTTAAATATTAGACTATATTATTCTGCGCGTTTTACATAATGTTTATTACCTTTAAATTAATAATTATTTTCATTTTTAGTTTGAAATAGGGTAATAGAGAGATTTTGTACGTACTTAAATTCAAAATTACTTTGTAAATATTTTTTTACAGTAAGATGGTAGCTGGTTGTCCGGGTCAACATATAGGATACTTTTTACTGCGGGAAAATATCTTATTTCTGAAAAATCTATAAATCTTTATATCACAATTTTATGAATTTTTAAGGGTGTTTTTACAAGACGGCCATATAATGTTTTTATATTTTCAAAAAATATAGTTCAAGACGAAAAGAATGAGCCCTATCTGAAAATTGAACGATTTTTTTTTTTAATCTAAATGCCCACTTGAAGTTGGGGGTGATTTTCAGCCTCTCGAGACCATAAAACATACTTTTCTCGGAAATAGCTAAACATTTCAATTTGTGTTGTTTTTATTTATTATATGTATTTCAAAGATTATATTCCCTTAGTTTCATGAAAATCAAGATTATTCTAGAAATTAAAAATAAAAAGCCAAGAAAAAGTAAAGAACCCAATTTTTTGCAAATATCTCGGACACTTTGAGGCTATTGTAAAGTATTATTTATAAAAGTTGTAGAGTTTTACTACATCTACAACTTTTGTAAAACACATTTTGCGATATAACTTCACAGTAAGCTGGAAATTGTAAAAAAACTATTTTTCAACACTTTGCATCCCCCTCATTTCTGAGGGGCATGTAGGGCATTTCACGAATTTCTATTTCTTATATACCGGCTAACATTTTAAAACCATAAAACTTCAGATTTTCAGTATTTTGTTCCCAAACCGGATTCCGATTGGACTATAAGAAGACATTTAAGGAAAACGGTTATTGGGAGTCTTTATTACCGCAATAACACCCAAAATGATTTTTAGAATTTCTGTCTGTCTGTGCGATTGTGCGCACTAATCTCAAGGCTGAACCGACTTTAGTGCGATTTTCACTAATGTACTGTGGTGAGCTTCACTTAACATTCAGTAAATGGGTTCATAAGACAGTTGTCAATTTAAAGAATCACATAGGGACGAACCCGAGTGAAGCCAGGGCGAGTCGCTAGTTTTGAAATATAGACTAACTAGCGACTCACCCTCGCTTCGCTTCGGGTGCGTCCCTATACAAAGAGTAATCTATCTCTCGGGAACCGTACATTTTTCCGGGATAAAAGGTAACCTATGTGCTATTCCAGACTGTAATCTATCTCTGTGCCAAATTTCATTTAGATCCGTTCAGCTTTTCTGGCGTGTAAGAGTAACAAACATCCATCCATCCTCACAAACTTTTTATAAATATTAAAACTTGTGGTGGTGTGGGATTTGTATTAAGTGTGTGGTTAAAAATACTAATACTTTATTACCGACAGGTAAAACAGACACAGGAAAAAATAGGTAGGTACCTGTCTTTTTCTAACTATTTATATATATTTTTTCTTTGATTACTATATTCTAGTCGTGCCTCAGTACTTACAATCCACACAATTTTGTGTTCACTATCTACATACACTTTTACAGCTTTCTCACTATTAAATCGTAATATCGCTTGGCGAGTGTTGCATATTTTTTGTATTCGCAGCAAAACAATGGAATGATGATAAACTTATAATTTCGCAGCAAAACATATTGGAATGATGATAAAATGGTAAAATCAATAAGATAATAATTTGTAGCGTTCCTTACAAATTTAAGGGTATCGTTTATTTAAACACAAGAAATAAAGTAAGATAAAAAATAACAACAGTCGTTGGATAGTTACAACGTCGAACATTTTAGTATATCTATACTATTATAATGACCTTATCATTTAAATCTTCAACTTCATTCACAATGAATCGTTAAATGACTGCTTCGTCTTACCTTCTTAGAAGTTATATATTATAAATCAAATAACATACTATAGATACCTTAAACTAATTATATATAAAAAATCTATTTGTAACAAGCTCATCAGCAGAGTCCATATCACTTACAAACGTGTAAAATAATTGAAAGAAGACAGATACATGGATATGAAAGTTGACTTCGGTGCAAACTTCAGAATTTTTTGCATAATAATTAGACATAAACAGAGAGCTCTTATTTTCGACTTATTCAGACCATGCATAATATATAAATTGGTAAGAAACTCTGGTAAAAAAACTGGTAATTAAGACCCTCGGGATACAACAATAGTGTTAAGTAATAAAATGAAATATTGAATTTTATCAAAAATTTCCCTATTATACTTATTGGCATTTTGCCTCATTGCGTGAACAACACCTCTGAATCCTTTTAGTATTTCCCATTGCCAATATGCAGAAAAATTATTCACATCTAAAAGTTCTGAATTTATGTCTCTCACTTGAATACAAAACGTGTTCTTATCACAGAATAGCGACAAGCACAGAGTCACCGGAGCGATAGCACCCTGTTCAAAAACCAACTTAAATTTAACGATGCAGGACATCGAGGGTGTGAAAGCTTCCGCACTATTTAACAGCTCAAATTTGTGAATCTTTAACAAATCCTTAAAGTATTGGAAAGGCGAATGAGTTTTTTTGTGAGGCATTTCCACTGTGTGCATTACAAAATAATCGCGATTATCAACTTCTTGCCTCTCGACACTTCTAGAAGTCCCTTGTGAGATGTTATCCAACTGTATAGCTTGTCCTTGTGGATAAGCAAATATGTTATTGACAGGCTGCGCCATACTCATGTACACTGGTACAGAATTAAGTTGTGGTTTGGGAGCTATGTTTTGTAAATAAACGTTTTGATTCTCATTCGAGTTCCCCGCCCACACGTTTGCCGTTGTAGGAATACCTTTCGGGTGAGTTGGCACCTCGGCCATGAGCTCAGAAACAGGCTTTACTTTTATTCTTGGTAATGTTTGTTCGGGCACTTTAGGTGCAGTATCAGCTACGCTGGACGATGGGCATTGTTCCTCATTGGATGTTATTTGATTATTAGAATTTGGTGCTAATGATACTGTCGATGTAATGATGGGCATATGTAAGCTTTCTTTTTCAGAGGTCACGCTGGACGACGCCTCCTTGTCACGTGATATTTCTCCATCATTGTAATAATCAGTCGTGTCGACTGCAGGAAGGCAGTCTTGAATATTGCGAGCACTTAATTTCTTTGGGTTTGGCACAGGACTGGCATTCAGTATCTTATGTAACATGGTGTTATTTTCTGGCTCTTTTGAAGGTCGTAGATACAGAACATTATTTTCAATTTTTTTATCGTGCATACATCTTAATAATTTTTCGTTGTTTTTAGAATATGTACCTGCAGGTGATTGTATATTTTTAGAATCGTGGCTTGAAAATATTAAAGTTGAACTGTCATTAGCAGATGGAAAAAGGATATTCTGTGGCAAGACTATTCCACCACTAATTACATTCTGTCCATCTTGTGGAATTACTTCAGTAGTAAATACTAAGTAGCTATTCGTTGAATCTGCTTCAGGCGTAGAAAGCTTTTCGAAATAATCTATAAAATCCTTATTTTTGTAATTATTATCTATTTTATTTAAGCTCTTCCAAATGTCTGCAAGTTCATCACTTTTTTTCTCTTTGAAAATGGTTCTCACAGATACATTTGTTTCCGTTTTTTCTATCCAAACGACATCAAGATCTTTTTGTTCCATATATCTCAATAGTCCAGTTTGATTAAAGCCTTCTTTATGAATTATTTTTCTTCCCATACTTAAGAGTTTTCGTTGTAGAAACGAATCATGGTTTCCGTAATTCTTTACATTTTTATTGATATTCAATCTCTTTAAATACTTATTATAACAAATAGAAACAATATTATTAATCATTTTCTCATTGGCTTGGTGCTTTACATTTTCTGCGTTTATTTCTGAATTGTTATATTTTGTTACGAAAGTGCTTAATGTAGAAGCAGTGTCAGAATCATCTAACGTCACACATTCAATATCACTTTCGCCTGTACAATTATTTTTATTATTTTCCTTATTGGAATTACCGTCTATAACTAGTGTTTCATTTGAACTTACAGAAATTAGCCGTTGCCTTTTACGTTTCTTTTTGTTACTGGTAAAATTTTCATCAGAAGATTCAGATACACTCTTTCTCGATGTTTTTAAAGAATAAAGTATGTAATAATTAGGATTTTTCGAATTAATAATTTTGTTCTTTTCCCAAACAACATTTTCTTTAGAGTCTGTTAAATTAGGTTTGAAATTAAAGTTTTCCAAATTTACCCAACACCATTTTAACATATTCGAATATTTTTTCATTAAAGCGCATTTTTCACCGTGAAGAATTATGTTCGTTTTATGTCTTAGAGATATAGAGCAAAATTTACATACAAATTGTTTGCTATAATTCTTCCGCCATCTATTTTTCGAAGATTTGTTACGTTCTATCAAATGTTCAGTATTACCAACATCAGAAAAAATATAATTGCACGACGATTTCTTGGCTGTACTTGGTGTTTGTTTGGTACAATTAGCATCATCCTTACGTATTGTAGATATTTGGCTTAATGGACTTTTTTCAATATAGTTGACAAGAATCTCATTCTCAGCATCACTCTGCGGGATTGAAGACGTCAGTTTTTCTTGATCCGGTGCAGTAGCACAACTAATCTGCAAAAATTGAAATTTATCAGTTAGAAAAGGCCCTATGACAAAGTAGCAAAGAAATAATTTCGCAAAAGGCTATTAATGCATAATAATTCACCATGGCCATGTTGCTTGCTTTAAATCTATCTAATATTTTATAAGCTACTAGCATTGCCCGCGGCTCCGCCTGCGTTCAGATGACCAAAAACCAAATTCTTAGATTTTAAATATTAGTATACTCTTACATTGCAGTTTTTGTATTTTTTGTCAGAAATGAGATATTTTCAGTAAAAAGTATACTATATGTTGATCCGGATAACCAGCTACCACCATACCAAATTTCATCAAAATCCCTCTAGTGGTTTTTCTGTGATGCGGTAACAGACAGATAGACATACAGACCAAAATTCTAAAAACTATAGATTCGGCCTCTGTATCGATAATAATGTTTATTTCAATAAGACTTTCCAAAAAATATTTAATGTACAGATTCGGCTTAGTTACAATCGATACATATAATAAAACTGCCTCGGTGGTGTAGTGGCTAGCATGTACGGCTGCACACCCGGAGGTCCTGGGTTCGAGTCCCGGGTCGGGCCAAGTTTAGTTACTGATTCTTTCTGTATAGTAAGTCTCTGTAACAGCCCGAAGTTGGGGAGTTGGCGGTTTTTCACCCCCGTGCCTCGGAGAGCACGTAAAGCCGTCGGTCCTGCGCCTTAACTCTCACCGGTCGTGTTGAGTGGTCGTCCCACCGGAGTATTAGAGTGATAGGAATAGAGAGTGCACTTGTGTCTGCGCATACACTTGAGCACTATAATATCTCCTGCGCAGTTGGCTAATCTCAATGAGATTGGCCGCCGTAGCCGGAATCGGCTAGGAGAACATCATCATCATCATCATAGAATAAAAATTTACAATCACAACTCGTCATAAGTCACCAAGATATAGAGACACATAGAATGATGTTTTTAAAACATTTTAAATGGATGTAATATTTTATTTAACTCTCAAAATTCCAAAATTCGTGTCTTGGCTCACTCTCGACTGGATTGTGGGACCTTACGAGTAGACAGTAGTTGTAAAAAATGAATCACAAGAAAAAAAGAAGTATTGTCTAATGCTTGAGATGCCCTAGGGTCACTTTATGAATTACTAACAGAACGCGCGGCTTAAAACTACAAAAAACTCTAAAAATGTAGGTTTCATAAAACTTTCCCTTTTTATCCCCCTGTGAGAAAATTAAACACTAGAACAATGGGCAATGCTCGCAACAAATGTTTTATTGTTTGTTTGTGGACCATATTATTACATTCGTACCAGGATAAAAGCCAATCATTCAATAAACAACCCATGCCGTCCACTTCTGAACTCAAGTTACGCTACTTCTCTCTGCCCTAGGCTCTATATATTCAGCCAGAGCCAGCAAGTCTGTCAAAGTCGTCTCCATATTTTCACAGACTCGGTTACAACTCGTCTGTTCCAATGGTAGTAGGATTCGCAACAGGTATGACTAGCCTTTTGTCACTTCAGCGAGAATGTTTCGTTTCGAATCCTATCCCTCAAGAATATCCTGAGCCCCCCCCCCCTCTCCCTCCTTCCATAGCACACTGAGGGGCCTAAAATTTGTGGACCAGTCCCTTGGCTAATGTTCACATTGTGATAGCGTAGCTCATTACTGGTAGCTCACACTGATTAAAGACTTTACGTTTTTAAGGATTGAGGCAACGACGACGAAAAGATGTGAATCAACATCCCAAAAATATTGTACCACACTAATAATTATAATACAATCCACTCAAGAACTAGAAACTTAATTGTTAGTACAATAAGAATACAATAAAGAGTACTAACTACAACCCAGGAATTTTTTACTTGTTCATAACTTATATCTAGTGACCATTTAATACAGCAGACCAAAAAGTAGCCGCCTATCAATGATCATTAAACTATCTCTATAGGGATCATTCCATGTCAAATCGATCGATTGTTGAAATCGATTCCTTATTAATCCTTCCGATTTGGATGAAATTTGGTCAAAAATTTTTCTGAAACAAAATATTTTTTTAAATGTTATGCAAAATTCAAAATTTGACTAATTTTTCAGTTTTGCAAGTTTAATACTTTCTTAGATTTACGCGAATATTTGACATTTTAAATAAAAGAGTCTCTCCCGTGACCATGGATGCTGTAAAGCATTCGAAACGTCGGGAAACAAAAATCCAAATAAATCCGCGACAAAATCCGAAAAGATAGTTTTGCAAGTTTATTTTTTAAATATCTCGAAAACTATCGGAGCTACAAAAATTGACCTTGGTTCATCTAAAAGAGAATATTTGGGGCTACAAAAAAAATTATACAGGTGTCCTGTTTTCAATGGATAACCTTGAAATGGCTTATAGCAAAACCTTTAAAAAGATACATAACCAAATATATCCTAAGTAGTTAAGTTAAGATATGTTTTTTTTTTAAAAGACTACAAATTTTTATCTTATTTTACATTATTGAACACTACAATCACAAAATGAATGAATTCCATCGATTTTTTGTTGTTATCTTAATGTAAATTAACCATACCAATAGATAACTAGTAAATAGTAAGACTAGCTATTGCACTTATTTTAAAAAAAACGACTTGTATTAACATTTTCAGTGAAAAATTTGCGAAAATATAATTTTTGACAAAGTTTAAGCACCTTGGGTGTAAAAAAAATGTATGAAAACAATGCTGACCTGGGCCAACGTTCTTAGCGGATTTAAAACAGTTCAAAATTTCATTTAAATTAGGTTAAATCTTAAAATATTGATTTAATGTACATGTATTTACCGAAAATAAGATACTCCGTCTGAAATATTTCTTCTTCGCGCATTATTTTTGCAACTTTTAAATACATATTGCAGCATTGTGGACGTGTTTAAGTTGGCAGTGTTTCAATAGAACTAATCGAAATATACGCTCACTTTGCAAGTGAGCTGATATTTACCGAGACGGATTTCTTACGCCGACCCGATACCTAGTAATATTGTTGATCGAAGGCTATTAATGTAAAAAAGGAGTAAATTTGACTAAATATCGAAATATGTAATATGGGAACATTTTTTAAATTAAATTGTACCTGACCATTGGTGATTTGAAAAACATCATCGGGTATTAATACTGAATAAAATAGCTTATTAAATAAATAAAAAAACAAATAATGCAAAAAGAGAAATTAAACAAATAGTTAATACACATAATGTTTTAAATGGTTCGTTATAATTTTTAAACGGGTCGTGTGACGTGATATTTGCTACCTGCGCGCACGCTTTGCACATCTTTTGTTCATATTAGACAAAGAGGGTCTGAGTTGGCTGAGTGCGAGCGAGAGGGAGTAAACGAAAAAAAAAAACAGATAAGAGGCTTAGTGCGTCACTCGACTTGTTCGACTTCACATGTATTTTACTCGTTTCGGTTAGTAATTATTGTGATTTACTTTGTAACAGTTTTAAAAAGACAACCTGGCTATTTTACTGGACTATTCGTTTTGTTTACCGATTTGGACTTGTTAAGTGATATTTACGGCAACTTGTTTCTGGACCGAACTGAACTTTTCTGTTTCTAAATCAAACAGACCACCACCACCACAAGAATATGCAAAGATGCATTTTATTTACGGGAAATGCAGAGGCAATGCAATCACAGCCGCAACTCTTTATAGGGAGAAATACCCTAATGCGCGCCATCCAGAGTGTCGCGTATTTATAAGAGTCCACTCAGAAGGAAGAATACCTGGTAGTGGTGTCCGTGGATCTGGCTCTGGAAGAATAGTTTATCCTGATTTCGAAGACATGGTGCTTGAGAAAGTCGAGCAAGATCCGTTGACTGATCTATGCGAGCAATAGTTCGACGCACGGACATGTCAAAATCTACCGTGCACAGTATTTTAAAAAGGTACAACTTGCACCCATTCCACGTTGCACGCATGTAAACTCGCCAACCAAGAGACTATAACTCAAGATTGCGTTTTTGCCGACAAATGCTGGCAAAGATTTTTAATAAAATTCTGTGGAACGATGAATCAACAGTCAAAAGAGATGGGTATTTGAATATGCACAATTACATAGTTGGCAACTAACAATCCCCATCTCATGCATGAAGACAGGTCACAATACTAATTTAAGATAAATTATTGGACTGGAATATTAAATGGAAAAATAATAGGCCCATTTGAATTAACGTGGAATCTAACCGGTCAAAGTTATTTGGAGTTTCTTAAAAATGATCATCCAAATTGAATGGAAGAGGTGCCCGAGGAGTTGGGAATCATATTGGTTACAAAATGACGGATGTCCTGCGCATTATGCTGTTGCTGTTCGTGCATATTTAAATAGAACGTACCCACGCAGATGGATCCGGCGTGTGGGGCCGATTTTGGCCTACACGTTCACTGGGTTTTTTGTCTTAAAGAAGAGGTGTACCGCAAACCGTCAGGACTTACGTAGCCGTGTCGGGGCGGTCGCATCAAAATAAGTGAGCGACGCTACACCAAACTGCTCAGAAGAACATTTATTCGTAGATTTAGGGCCTGCCTTATCATTATGTCGAATTAATGTCGAATATTGTTTTTCGTTAAAGTCTCAATAGGCTTTGGCTCCCCAAACAAAATCACTGTTGGTTGGTTGGTGGGAACCAAAAATCAAAATAAATCCGCGAAATAACCCGAAAAGATAGTTTCATTTTAATCTCATTGCACCCCCAACAGTTGCGTAAAGTTTAATGGCTTCACCACATATATGACAAACCACCGTGACGGCAGAGCCCATGGTGGTACAGCTATTGTTATAAGGAATTCAATTAAACACCACCCTCTCTTCTCTGTGCGAACGAAATCTATAAGTAGACCTCTTATAGCAAGAAAACATACAAAACTACCCAATGGGATATGAGCTAGGAGTTGCAAAGAAAAAGTACAAGCCTTTGCTGAACATCTTGTGGCGGTACTTACACCTAATGAAACTGTGGCGGACGTGAGGAGAAAATAATAAAGCTTTAATATTAAGCGTTTATTGAAGTGCGTATTGCACTTGCGAGACCAAGCGAGAGACTGTCCAATCGATACATATTCGATCTATAATCTAATGTAATATCTATACTTATATATTATGCCCGTTACAAATCATATTACCTCATGTTACAATAGGTACAATATTCCCCCCTTTTTAAAAAAGTAAATAAATAATATATAAAAGTTATTAAGAAAAATGAATACATTTTAACGCAAAAAAAATGTAAAATGTATAAAATTAAATTCTAAACATAAAATATAGTTTGCAAAAAAAATAATATTATTAATACCTAAAAATATCATAATTACACGCTATTACAGTTTCCTTACATCTATCACTATTCACTGCACTACTCGAAATTATGTGTTTAACATATCATTATACACTTGCACTTTTTAACTAAGACGTACACTGGCACTTAAAACATTATACTGCAGCAGTTAAATCTGGCATGCTCTGCATTTCCTTCCTTATAGTCTCTCTAAATTTCCTTCGGCAATATCTGTATATTCCAAACGTGATTACAATAAGGATTATTAAAAATAATAAGCCGAAATATATATCAACTTTTAACTCAGAAATTTGCGAAGTATTATTTTCTCCCATTTGGGCGATTATAACTTCTTCCTTCTTTTCTTCTTTGCTCTGATTATAACCCATTATTATTATTGGTAATATAATTAGAAAATGTGAATGTGTATAGCTTCACCAAGATACAGATTTTAAATAAATTGATCTCGGAATCTTACTACTGGCTTGCTGATTCGGCCGGATCGCGTTACTTTATTATTTACATGTGTCTCCTTGTTTGGAATTTCGATACTAGTGCTATCTCGCGTATCAAACTCTTCATTATTATTTAATAAAAATGCTGGCTTTAATCTATCAATAGAAACAGTAGATTCTTTGTCTGCCATTAATATTTTAAAATGTTTTTCTTTACGGTCTAATACTTTGTATGGTCCTGAATATGGTGGATTTAAGGACTTACATAATTTGTCGCACCGTAAAAATACATGAGAGCATTTTTGCAATTCAGGGTGAACAAATATATTTTTCTGTGATTTCTCTCGTTTGGGTACTGAACAAATATTACTTATATGTTCTCTCAGTTGCTTTAAAAATGTCTCGCTATCGGAATTTAGTGGCGTTGTAGGCTCAAAAAAATTTCCGGGTAGCTTAATTGGACTGCCATAAACCATCTCCGCTGCACTGGTTTGCGTACAATCTTTTAGGCTTGCTCTTAAGCCTAGTAGCACAGTTGGTAACTCCTGAACCCAATTATTGTTTCCTCTAGTCATTAACGATGCCTTAAGAGATCGATGCCAACGTTCGACAGCACCGTTACCAAGGCGCTTAGATAATTGATTGATAAGATTCGACTCAAACTGTCTTCCTTGGTCAGTCGTAATTCGTAAAGGACAACCAAAACGTGAAATCCATCCTGAACATATTTTCTCTGCAACAGCTTCAGCTGTTATGTCTCTTAAGGGAAAAGCTTCCGGCCAACCCGTGGCTCGGTCTAACATCGTAATTAAATATCTGTATCCTTTGTAAAGTGGTAATGGACCAACAATATCAATATGTATATGTTCAAAACGATTGCTTGTGGGAAATTTACCAAAAGGTGATATTGTATGCCTATGTATTTTACATTTCTGACAATTTATACATGCTCGAGCCCAGTTAGCAACATCTTTGTTCATAGAATGCCAAAAGAATTTATCGCATATCATCTTTCTAGTTGATCTTATACTCGGGTGACTCAATCCATGTACGGCGTTGAAAGCCTGCACTCGAAATTCTTTAGTCAAATATGGTCGTGCGAATTGTTTTGAAACTTCACAGTAAATTGATTCTTGACTGTTATGAAGTTGAAACTTTTGAAAACATAAATTTTTAGATTTTAATAAAACTTGTAATTCTTTATCTTTTTCCTGAGCTTCGCTAAGAGCATTGTAGTCGATGTATGATGGCATATTAATTTCTGAAATTCGTGATAACGTGTCAGCAACAATATTTTGTGATCCACTAATATGTTCAATATTCGAACAAAATTGCATTATAAAATCGAAATGTCTTAATCGACGCGGTGTATCGCTGTCTGTATAAGAATTTTTTTTCAAAGCATAAACGAGTGGTTTATGATCTGTGTAGACTGTTAAGGGGCGTCCCTCGATCAAATATCTGAAATGTTTTATAGCCATATAGATAGCAAGTAATTCTCTATCGAAAGCACTATATCGCGTTTGCGCTTCGCTCAGCTTAGTGGAGAAAAATCCTAAAAGCTTCCATGTGTCGCCTTCACGTTGCTGTAATACTGCGCCAATGCAAGTCTTAGACGCATCCGTCATAAGGGCTATATTCGCGTCTGCAGCTGGGTGTGATAGTGTAACGGCGCTGTTTAGGCTCTCCTTACACTGTTCAAATGCCGCAATTGACTCATCTGTCCACCTTACTTCTGTCTTGTCATTTTTTCTAGAGTTATGTAAAAATATATTTAATTTTGACTGAATCTCTGCTGCTTGAGGAAGATGTCTTCTGTAAAAATTAATCATACCTAAAAAACGTCTCAGTTCCTCGATTGTTTTAGGCCTAGGAAAATTAATTATAGAGCTAACTCGTTGTTCTAGGGGTTTTATACCATCTTTCGAAACGTGGTATCCCAGAAACTCTATTTCGTTCTGCCCAAAATTGCATTTTGAAGTGTTAATAGTTAAGCCATATTTATTAAATCGCTCAAATACTAGTCTGAGGTGTTCCTTATGTTCGGATTCAGATTTCGACGCTACTATTACATCGTCGATATATACAAAAATAAAATTAAGATTTTGAAGTACGACGTTATTTAAAAATCTCTGAAATGTTTGAGCTGCATTTCTTAGCCCAAACGTCATCCTTGGGAACTCAAAAAGACCGAATGGCGTAGTGATGGCTGTCTTCTCTATGTCTTCACTATTGATGGGAATGAAATGATAGGCACGTGTTATATCGATCTTCGAAAATATCTTTTTACCCGACAGTAAATATGTAAAATCTTGTAAGCGTGGAATCGGATACCTGTCAGGCTTAGTGATGGCATTTAATTGCCTGTAATCACCACATGGACTAATACCACCATCCTTTTTCGGGACTACGTGGAGTGGACTTGCCCAACAGCTCTTCGATGGTCTACATATGCCTACGTCTTGCATGATTTCAAATTCCGATTTTACCTTCTGATATTTGTCCGGAGCTAAAGGTCTGGGTCGCGCAAATACAGGAGGTCCTGTAGTCTCAATATAATGAACAACAGAGTGTCTTGGTGTATCTTTGAAACAAATAGGTTTCGTTATATCGGGATACTCTAACATTAAGTCGTAATATTTATTATTTATATCCAACGTAGTTATAGATGACTCATCGTGTTGCACTATCGATGTTATAGTATCTATATTTGTTATTTGATCAATTAGTCTACGACGATATAAATCTACTATAAGCTTATGATAGGTTAAAAAGTCTGCGCCTAATATTGGCTGTTTAACGTCCGCTAACACAAAAGTCCACCGAAAAGGTCGGCGTAAATTTAAATTTAACACTGACGATTTTACACCATATGTCTTTATTTCACTGCCATTAGCTGCATAAAGTTTATATTTATCACTAACTACATTGTCATAGAGTCGTTTTTTGTACGGTAACACTGAAATATTTGCACCTGTGTCCACAAGAAAACGTAAACCACTTTTGCAGTCGGTTACGCATAAACGGTGGAACGGCGATATGGTGCAGACATCCACCCTTGGCTGCACCTTGTCTAGTTTTCCGGCTGCTCCTTCCAAGCACATGGCTCAACACATTTCTTTGCTTTAACGCCGAAACGGTGATGATAGAAACATAGCCATTTCGATGATTCGGACCTGCGGCGTCGTTGTTCGGATACTGAACGTCCGCGTGATGTAGTACGTCGCCTCCAATTACATCGAGTACTTCGATACCTTGGTCTCGATCTCTCAAGTTCCATGACCTTCACACTTAACTTGGCTATTTGCGACATAAGAAATGATGTATCATCCGATTTTTCAGCTTGACAATTTACTTCAGCAACATGTAAAGGTCTCGTGGTCTCCATAATTTTGTCAGCGATAGCTGCAAGGTTATCTAGATCCTTTACCTCGCTAACTGCCAACACCGCTCGAACTGACGTGGGTAAATGTCCTTGCCACATGATACACAGCGTTTCATCAGGTATCTTATTACGAGCCAAATCCCGCATTCGCCTAAGAAGCTGAGAAGGCTTCTGATCGCCAAGTTCCATTTCCCCCAGCAACTTCTGGAACTGTCGGTTCTCCGACTCTTCGTAAACAGCGAGCAAACAATTTTTCAAGGTCTCATATTTATGTGTTCCTGGTGGATTAAGCACAATGTCGCTAACCTGCTCGATGACTTGCTTGCCCAATTTCGGAAGCAACAAGTTAAACTTCGCTTCATCGCCTAATTTTTGAGAAGCTAGCACCGCCTCACACTGGGCGAACCATAATCGCGGCTGGTCGCACCAAAATTCCGGTATTCGCAATGATACGCTGATTGTTGCCAGTTCTGAATCTTCACGTAAATTTTCCTTCGCTTGTACGACTGGTTTAGAATTGGTAGCCATCCTATATTTGTTCTTCAGTCAGGTGTTTTTTTTTCAGTCGGGGTCACCAATATGTGGCGGACGTGAGGAGAAAATAATAAAGCTTAATATTAAGCGTTTATTGAAGTGCGTATTGCACTTGCGAGACCAAGCGAGAGACTGTCCAATCGATACATATTCGATCTATAATCTAATGTAATATCTATACTTATATATTATGCCCGTTACAAATCATATTACCTCATGTTACAATAGGTACAGAAACCACCAACAATGATGACTTATACATCATGTTGATGCGGTTATTACAGCCCCATACCAGCTTGACATCCCCCAAAATTAGTATCGCCAAAGGAAATATTTAATCTAATCAGAGGTCTAGATAGCAAAAAAGCACCTGGATTTGATCACTGGTAGTTGGGTAAAAATTCCAAATTGTCGGTAGACAACAAACTACTGATATATACATCAATACTGAAACCAACATGGGCATACGAAGCTCAACTCTGGGGTAGTGTATGTGACTCCAATATTACAAACCTCCAAAGAATGCAAAACACAATTCTACATACAATATCTAATGTACCGTGGTTCATTACTAATGACAATATTCACCACAATTTACACATGCCTAAAATAAAAGAGAAAGTTCGTAGTTTGGCTTGCCAATATAATACGCGTCTGGCTAATCATCCTAACATCCTAGCACACAGACTTCTGGATGATAAATGTCCAAGACGTCTCAAAAGAAAAGCCATACTAGACCTAGCATTATAATTCTAGCCTGAATAATGAATGAGTTTAGTTCCTAATGAGGATCAACTTCACATGACAGCAATCTCTCAACAAAATTTGCTTATAGTCAAAAGACTGATCGCAAATTATATGAGGAAAAAAAAATTAACTACTTGACAATCGTACAAATAGTAAATAATTACCAAACATCAGAATGATGAATGATTAGAATGTATGCAAAAAATTGGATGGATAAGCAAGATTTATTAAAGAAATTATGTATGGAGTACATAGCCAGGCTCGCAGTTTTGAAATTAAAGATAAATCAACATAACTACAAAATATATAAAAATATAAAGTAAAAAAAATTACTTACATTTCCTTTCAATTTTATTAAAAGGCTTTTCTGTTTTTTATGTAACATTTCTTTAATAAGTGCATGATGGCTTAACATAGATTCACACTTCTTGCATATGAGCTGTGGTAGGCCATCAAAAAGAGATATCTGAAAGATTTTATTGCATTAAATACAGTTGTCTTTTTACTGATTTTTTTAACTATAAATTATGAGTTAAACATACATGAAGATCAAAACAATATTTGATCTTTTTTTGAACTTCTGGTACAATCTGATAAACACCAATTTCTTCTAAACACAAACGACAGGTTACAAACAATTTTGGGTCAACCTCTATCATGTCCATTCTTAACTTATTTCTGAAAAAAAAATGACAAAAATAAGTTTTGATAAAATAAACATATTATAACTTTATTACTCTAAGCTATTATTATAAACATGTATTTGTTTGTTTTTTAATTCTTGAATTCTCAATGTCTCAATTCTTAATCAAGTGTGATTAAATTTTGTGTATGTAAGAATGTATGAAATTATTTTACCTTTCTTATTTACTAATTTCTATTGAATATAAATAAATTTGAATAATCTTGATGGCTACAATTCAACTGAAAACTATGTATGATAATATCAATTAAGTTCCTAAGAATCTGAATGGATTTTCATGATTATGATTTAGTTCAGTCTTCGAAGAGTGCAGAATATTGATTAGTACATTAATAAAACATGTAAAGAATTTTATTAAATATATTAAAAAGAATAATTAAATAAATATTATAGCATATATATAGTTAGTCTAAAATATAAAAATGATGTCATACAGAATACTTATTACCATAAAATCATCTACCCATGGTTGTAACTTGTAGTTTAGGAAGAAATATTCACTGCAAATTTCTAAATGCAAACAAATTTCTCCTTTCAATTCCCGCTAAATATTTAAAACTTACCAGTACGTTATTATTAATATCCTACAATTATTCTCATGCCATATCACTCCTTTTGCCCATCCTTCTCCAAGTTTTACGCCAAACTTATTCTTATAATCAAATTCCAAATCCTTGTGTCTACATAATTTAAAATTTCATGTAAATACGGGGGCACTCTATATTTTATTAGATCTATGTAAATACTTGATAAAATTATATATATTTTTTTAAAAACACAGTGTGAAAGTAAATTTCAATTTCCAGCTGTCAAAAATTGAGATGTACAATAATAATAATTATAGCTTTAGTTCGATAGTGCCATCTATCGGTCAGTAGCTTAACTTTTACGTTACTAGTATAGTATATAATTTAGATTATCTACACTCTAGACGGAGCCATAGGTCACGTGATATTCGTAAGAAAAAGCATAATACAACTTAGGATGTGATTGAACAAGACAAAATGCTCACTATACTCGACCCTTACCGCCTAACCCACGGAAATTAAAAAAACAAGGGAAGTGCTAAGTAATGAAGAAGATGTCTTAAAAGAAGGGCGCCACACGTATTGCCTGTTTACATTCAGTCTAAGGTTAAGCAATTTATTATGTTCCCTCTTGTATACCTGGTTTTTTGCTTCTATTGTGTTCGCATCTTACCTGAGCAATATATTGTACTTGGAAGAAGACCAGCTGAAGGAAGAATTGAGAAGAAGAGGTGCATCCTGCGGTGGTCCTGACTGATTGATGGATTAACACACAGACTAGGCCGCTGGTCGTAGAAACGTGAAATTTGAAGTACTTATTCCTTATACGATGAAGGCATCGGTTAGAAAGATCTTTCGAAATTCATGCCCCTAAGTGGGTAAAATAGTAGATTAAAGTATGAAACTCTGTCATTCTTAATGTGAAATACACAATGGTATTCAGCTTTAAAATAAAAAATAAGAAATATATTTATTTCATTTTTTTCGAAATTCATGCCTTAAAGGAGTGAAAGGGGGTAATAAAGTTTATATATGCAAAGAATTATTTATGATCAGAATTACTTGAAACTTGGTATTAATGCTCTTCAATACATTTAACGTGCTTATGCGATTTTTCGAGATTCAATCCTATAAGGGGGTAAAATAGGAGATGAAAGTTTGTATGAAACTCTGTAATTAATATGTAAAAAAGTAAGAAAAATAAAAAAAAAAATCTCATGTAGACGATTAAAAAGTTTTAAAATCACCTTTTACAAAATGACGTCCACATAGCCTTAAATATAAAAACTATGATTTCGCCAGTTTTAGTCATCTTATTGCTTTAGCCCACAATTTATTCAGTTTTTGTCTTTTGGAAACAAATGATATCCATTTCCTTTGCATACTGGCACTGCACAATTTGTTTAATTAAAAATAATATTAATGAAATACAGTTAAATGAAAAAAATCCATCCACGCTATAGAGCTTTACAATATACGGAAGTCTATAGTGTAGCGACATCTGGCGGGAGAAAAAGGTAAAATTCTTCCCCGTTGTGACACGCAGTCCACAGTTAAGGCTCATAACGCTTATTAGATGGCAGTTGTGTATTAGCATCGCGCTGGATTGCACATGTACGAATATTCTTAGTTTACCACAACTATGCCATTTTGTTACATTTTAAAGTGCAAATATGATAGTAGGAGAAATTTTTTGGCAATAGAGATTTTTAGTACCATCAGTCAGCATGATTTTATTTGTTTTCTAAACCAACTGTTAATTTCAAAATATAAACTATCTAGCGGCTCACCCTCGCTTCGCTCAGGTTCGTCCTTAAGTACATTTTAATTTTTTTGAGCGGAAGCCTAATACTTTTACTGAAATAAAAGTCACCTAAGTTACTCCTTATAACATCGACTACCTTCCAGTGAAAGTCCCGTCAAAATCGTCCCAGCCGTTTTGAAGATTAGCCGAAATAAACAGACAGATAGACAAAAATTGTGTTTTTCTTATAAATACCGTAAATAATTCCATATGCTTTTAGTAAAAAACTATTATTTTAATATTACAAACGGACACTTATCTATACAGATATTTGTTAGGCTATCAATTTAAATTTAACTCAATTACATTACGACAAAGTATATTTTTAATTAAACGAATTTAGTTTAGTATTTCTTAGTGGTATAGTCAGAATGCTGATTTTATCGATATAATATTTTTAATAATCAATGGTCGGAACATGTAGCCGTTATTTGCTAAAATTGGACGGATAATACCTCGTTGTGGTTAAAACCATATAAATTTAAATCTTTTTTTGCGAATAATTTCTCGGTACATATGAAATTATTGAATTCCATCGATAATTATGACGGAAATATATAAAATACGAAAATCATATTTCAAATCGGGCTCGGATGTTTTAAAGATTTACGCACGCAAACAAAAAAAAATTCAGCTTTTACATTAGTTAAAATAAGTATATATTTAATTTTCAATAGTGCGTAGGGCATTCATTACAAAGTGAGAATGAGGTACAAGCTCTTTGGAATTGAAAAAAGTTAATACTGGCTAGTAAAGCTGGGATATTGATTAGATTTAAGCAGAGGAAATAATTTGAATATGTTTTGTTTTTTTTTTAATAAAAGTTTTTTGTTTGCATTCTGTCGAAGCGTGTTGTCGAAAATGAAAAAAATTAAATTGCGCGCGGTTATTTAGTATCTGCGCTTGAAAAATGTCACTACGGAACGAGTTAATCAAGACTTACAGGATACTTTAGGAGCAAATGCTCCACCATATTGTAAAGTTGCAAGTTGCTGCTTGCTGTGCCAGTCGCGGGTTCGAGTCCCGCTGGGGGCATTCATTTGTGTGAAAAGTACGAACGTTTGTACTCTAGTCATGGGTATTTATATTTATAATATGTATGTATGTATCTAAAGTTAGTAATATACTAATGTACTACACAACTATACACATGTAAATAAATATACTTGTGTTATAGATACCAGATAGTATCTATAACACAAGCCTCGTAGCTAGCCATGGAACTAGATGGTGCTGTATGTTAATGTCCCAACATATTTATTTATTTATATCTAATATTATACTTATAACACTATTGTAACACTGATTCACATAAAAACTTAAACTAAAAACGTTATTGTGGTGGTTAGTGTACGGTAGGAACGCTGCGTTGTAAAATGATGTCACGCAAGCATGGCGCTCTCGCGCGAATTATTAGAATAGGACAGAAACTAAAATTGTCGTAACTTCAGTCTTCAACACTACTTGCTTAATTTAAATAAAACAAAAACAGGTGTATTTCTAAAAAATTAGACTACATGGTCATAAAGTGTCAAGTCATTCAACAGATCCAGTGAGATTCTTCATTATCCACTACAGTACAGCAAAATAAATCTTATTAAGGTATTTTTTTTATTTATGGGATATTAATAATTATGCTAGTTTTGATAATTCTCTAATACAAACGTAGTCAAATCACACTTCCCTTGTTTTTTCTCTTCCGTGAACTTATATGTAACTTGTTTTCTGGTTTTATAATAAAACCTGTTTTTATGTATTTATATAAAACATACTAATTATTTGAACTGCCTCGGTGGTGTAGTGGCTAGCATGTACGGTTGCACATCCGGAGGTCCTGGGATCGAGTCCCGGAACGGGTCAAGTTAAGTTTTTGAGTCTTTCTATTTAGTAAGCCTCAGTAACAAGCCGGAGTTGGTTGGCGGTGTTTCACCTCTGTTCCTCGGATAGCACTTAAAACCGTCAGTCCTGCGCCTTATTTCTCACTGGTCGTGTCGAGTAATCGTCCCACCGGAGTACGAGAGTGACAGGAATAGAGAGTGCACTTGTGTCCGCGTGTCCACTTGTGCACTATAATATCTCCTGCGCAGTTGGCTAGTCTCAATGAGATTGGCCACCGTGGCCGAAATCGATCTGGAGAACTTATATATAAGATGATTATTATATTAAACAACTTTAAATTAATTATTCAGTAACTTTCTGTATACGCCAGTAAATCTAGTATAAAAACTTGAATGTTAAAAAATAATAAGATATAATATTCTATTGCCAACTATTCCGGTCCTAAGCAGCCCATATTTATCCGCTACTCGTCACCCCTCTCAAGTCACCGGTCCATCGTAATGCATAGAGTACTACACTATGTGTGCCCAAACGCGGTCTTTACTCTAACACGTGTTTTTTCCATGCGTGCTGACTATCTGTCACTTCTGTGCATCTGGAATATGCCCAGCCCATTACCACTTCAAGCCTATATTTAAAGATTTAAATTTATTTCATAAATACTTAGGGAATTGACCAAAGTCATCAGCCACTGCGTAGAAACTGTGGTGTCAGCATAAGCTAAAACTAATACTAATTGGGTTATTGGAAGACACTACAAAACGTCCACTTTTTTAACAGTATTGTTTTGTA